GTGCTTCCGTGTCTCAGCCATCTGCTGCCAACACGAGCTCCATTTGTTCCGGAAGAGTCTCTATTCTGTATTTGGATCTATAGTTGCTTTGAGAAAAGGAACGGCTCTTTGTTTGACAGAAGAAAGAAAACTCCTTTATATATTATTATTACATGGCTTAGTTGAATACTCGATTCTGATTGGTCGATTGGGACATTTCAGAGGTCAATATGACAGAAGTACACTGCTATGTTGTAACATAGTACCTTGTTTGAGCTCTAATAGGTAAACAAAAACAAATGTTAACATCTCCTGACAGACATAGCTAAATTAAAAAAAATAGTAATGTGAAAACCATCATTTTCTTTATTGAAAAAAATTTAAAAGTTCTAAAATAATAAATATGCCAAAAATTAAATTATCATTTGTTTAAAAAAAAAGTTTTAATTAAATCGAAATGATGTTAAAAATCACGTTTAAATTGTGTGAAAGTTTCCCCCTATACACCCAATATAAATATATACAATAAAATAATTTAATAAAGTACAAGAATAAAAAATACATTAAAAAAACACCCCTCAAAAACATATTTATAAAAAATAAAAACATATTTAAGATAAACATAAGATTAAAAAAAATGTCCACTTAAAGCCGAATTAAAACTGGTTAAATATATTTTTGTGTATAAACCCCGCCCCCTCACCTGGGCAGCTGTATCAGCAGGTGCACGAAGGAATCGGCCAATGAGAGCTTAGATACGTCTCCATGGTAACCCCGGAGCTTCTCCACTTCCTCTTTCTCCGGCAGCAGCTTCATCAGCTCCCTCAAAGGCCCCGCCCCCAAACGCTCACTGTTGCCATGGTGAATGTCCTCCACTATCGCCTGATTGGTCCTTCACACGAATAATAATGAGATGGTTACAACAAGTCTATGAGAGGATGAATAAACTGATATTTTGGTGAATTAAATTAGTAAAAAATGTCTTAAATGTGTGATTTTGTCTGTTTTATATCACGGTCAACTGAAAATATTAGTCAAATATTTGAAAAATATATATTTTGATATGGTTTTTTTTCTAACATATTTACAAATATTTGCAAAAACAATTTCGCCTTAAATCTTTTTTTATTATTGGGGAACATTTTAGTTGTTCCCCTTAAATATTTTAATATATTTTTTTCCCTTAAAGGTCCCATGTCATGCTTTTCCGGTTATTACCCATCCCCTTGTGTGTTATGAAGGTTTTTCTGCATGTAAACGGTGTGCAGAGTCACAAACCCTCAAAGTACACCCTGTAGCGAGTAAAACTCTAACACAGAAAAGACGTGTCTATGCTGCCCCAGAACGCCTCGTTGGACATTTTTTTTTCTTCCATTGTTTTCTTCCTGGGTATGGTGACGTGCCCATACCCAAATGCACCAATTGGTCCAATCCGTGGAGCCGTTACGTTACGTCCGCGGATTGGTCAGCCTGGACGGCGGGACGCGGCGAGGCTGGGTTTCGCTGTCTCGCAGACGGCCACTGGGCCCACAGGGAGGGGGGGGGCAGGAGCTCCAACAAGCCGTTTAGGACAGAGAGTGAATACCAGTGGCGTCGCCTGGCCTGGGCATCCGGGGCTTTAGCCCCGAATGTTTTTTCTGTAGCCCCGGACAATTCTCCCTCAATAATATAATACATTAACCGTGCTTTACGTGAACCTCATCATGACACAAGAGAGGACGGCAGCACTGTAATTTCCCGTGTTCAGTGAATGCAACAGAGGCATGACACCAGACCAATCAGAGAGTTGCATGGAAATAAACGTGTGCTTGTGTCATTCAAGCTCGGCTCTGTGTGTGTGTGTGTGTGTGGCAATAGCGCATTAGTGTGATAGAGAGAGAGAGAGAGCGAGAGAGGGGGATGGGGGGACCGGTATCAGCATGGACCGTGTTGTTAGCATCTGGTTAGCTAGCTGCACTAACGGACATAAGGAGCTGTTTGTTCCACAACAAGCTGGAGGAGAGTCCTCTCCTCTCAGACTGAGACTCAGGTGAGCTAAAGGACTCTCTGAGTGTTTAGATACTTAACTTTAGTCTAAGTTATCTCAGTGGGTCTCAAACGGTTTGGTCACAAATTATTCAAAAGATTATTTCCGCGGCACACCTTTATATGATCATTATAGTTATAAAGAAAATAATAGAATAAAGGAAAAACAGTTATGAAATACTATATGGCAGTAAAACAAGAATAGAGTTTAAAAGGGGAGTGATTAGTAAAATATCCATAAAAAAAAAGTACATCTGTTTACAGTTCTGCTTCATATGGGTGTTGAGAGAGGTATCCATAGATCTCTTCATTTTGCTCTCAAAGTGCACCAGATTGATGCATTTAACTTCAATATTTAAAAAAAAATCTTCCCGGGGGACCATCCCCCCGGACCCGCTAGATGAGGTGAGCCCCCCACTCATAAAAAATACCACTTTACCCCTGCCTATATGCCGTGAGCTGATTATCGAGCCTTCATTGTAACAGTCGCGGGCAGTGGCGGCTGGTCCATAGGGGCGCTAGGGGCGCCGCCCCACCTCTTCCCATATTGAAGAAAAAAAAAAAAAATTAAAATAAAAAAAAAAAAAAAAAATATGTTTAAAAAAATATATATATTTTTATTTTTATTTTTAATGAACAAGGTAAATATTATATAATTGGTATCAGTAAAATGTATAATCTACAATAAAATCTCGTTTAAAATTGTGTTACGATGTCTAAAGTTACTGATAAGTCACATGTTTCCTGCCTGGCCTTGCCCATGCACCTTCTCTCGTCTGGGCGCTAAGAGAGGAGCCTTCAACCAGTGCAGCAGCAGCCACTAGCAGCTGACTGTTGCTATCTGTAACGTGTAAACTATGCCGCGAAAATATAATTTCAGCCAATCAGCGTCGTCAAAGATGACGGTCACCGGGCGCCAATGTCAGCGCCCAGTGCAGTCTGTGAGTAGTTTGGACAGTGACTCGTATCCGGTTGACGCAGTAGTTGATGAGGATGGCTTCGTGTGCAGGTGGAGTCTCCGGACCTCGGTCCCCGCCTAATTCTGTTCAAGAGCTAATCTCCAATCCTTTCGAAAGGAGAAGTTTGGCAGATAAATTGTTGCTTAAAGACCTTGGACTGGACCAACCCGATTTGAATATATCGCAGCAATCTCGTGAAAAAGACAAAACGTATACACGAGGCTTCGCAAGTAGCTGGTACACAAAAAAGGCTTGGCTAGCTGGATGCAAACAGGTAAATGCTGTCTTTTGTTTCCCATGCTTGGATATCACTTTATATGTAGAGAGGAGGTTTCCCATGGTTGTTAGAAGTTTATTAATAAGTGGGCATTTATCACAGAAGTGATTGTTCTGTCTCCACGTTTGTTGCATTGTCTGTGATGTATTTTCCAACGGTTATAGCTCCTGTTCTGTCCCAGCAACACTACACGGTTTGCAGCTCCACCACATTTTTGGTTTATCTTCGGTGTCGCTTAAAATCTGCTTCCCATCGGACTAAAACCTCCACGTAATCTGAAGACAGATACTTGAAGTTATTTAAACCTTTTGCAAACTTTATGTTCTTCTTGCTCTAGCCTTGCCAGTTACATTGTACATAACACATATATTATCATTATGCTAAGTGGTTGTTCGTGTTAGACGATGTAGCTTTTTCATTTCTGAGTTATTGCTATATGTAAATAAGCCTGTTTGTAAATAATCCTCAGAGAAACAAAGAAAAAACACAATTTATGACATTTTGTGCTGTGATTATTTTTTTTAAATTGCATTTATTCACAGTTCAGTTTGAAATGCTGTAGTGACTTGTATTGAACCACTTAAATATTTATAATTAATGCTACTGAAAAGATGCTATTAATTTTATATCTCACTTGCAGTTCACTGTAAAGCTACTTGGTGAAGGTGTTGGTTCATAAAACATGAACAGTTTTAAGAAAGAAAAAAACAGACCAGTTCTGAGAACACAAATTCCTGGTAAAGTAGTAGATGTTCAGGTTGATAAATAATATTTTCCACACTGAAGATTATGGAGGTATTGATCAGTCTTCTCATATTTTTAAGCCTCGATTTCTCCTTTCCCCCCCCCTCTAACATCACCAGAAGTCATCATTTAAGGGGTCATTTCTCGAAAAAAAAATTCGGGGGGGAAACCCCGCGGACCCCCCGGGTAGGTCACTTACGGTACGTCAAGAGCCCCACCAAAAAAAAAGACCACCGGCCGCCACTGGTCGCGGGTGTACTGTGTGTGTGTGTGTGGGGAGTGTTGCAGTGAAAAATGCCACTGTAGTGCCGCCGCCACTGTGGGCTAAGCCCCGAATGTTTTCAGGTCCAGGCGACGCCCCTGGTGAATACACATACTATACAGAGATGCTGTATGAGAAACCAATGTGAGTTTGGAAAATTGCACAATATAAATCTATTTTAGTAGACCTCAGCAATGGAATTATGATCAGTAGAAATGGCCATGACATGGGACCTTTAAAGGGGACCTATCATGCAAAATGCACTTTTGTACGTCTTTTATACATGAATATGTGTCCCCGGTGTTCCAGGGAACTCACCAAGTGTCAGAAAACACAACCCTCTCTATTTTCCTCCATACCCAAATCTCTAAAAAAGGGGCTGCAACGGATCTGATAAAAACTGATCCAGATTTGAACACTGTCCTGACGTCAGGAAAGTGGCGCTACGGCTATTGGGCCAACTCTCCACCTATCAGGGGAATGTGGGGTTGGGCCACGGCCGGCCATTGCCGCTCGAAAGCGCTGGAGACGCTGTAGTACATATGCCAGGCCTGTAAGTGGCGCTGTCGTCTGCCACAAAAGCAGCGAAGAAGACTTCCTGCCCATAGTTACCATGGTTACCCTTCTGTTTATTCTCCGCTGTGGCTTTCTTTCTCCCTCCCCGAGGCAAGCGTTTGCTCCCGCTGCTGTAATTCAATGCAATCCCTCCCCGTCGAGGCAAGCACTGTAATTCTCTCCGGTTAGTCCACCAGCAGATGACAAACACCCACCTCTCCGCCTCTTCCAAGGAACGAGGGGACCGTGCGGCAGAGTTTCAGTTAGGTTTTCTTTCGCCGGTCAAGATGTCCGTTAAAGTTTAAATCTTCCGGACAAAATTAGAAAAGTGCCGGTCAAAGGTCTTCTTTGTTATTTATTGAGCTTTAAAACAAATGAATAACGACTCTATATAATAAAACACGGAGGACGGAGATCTCTTTTTCTCCCCCTCTTGACTTGATCAGAGCACGGCTCCCCTCTCCTGCAGGGGGGCGTGGTCAGCTGCAGCTCACAGAATCAGCCCCGTAGACAGCAAACAGCAAATAGAGCGAAATGAGGCATGGCTAAAATGCATGATCTGTTTGGTATTTTGAAAACAGAAACGTATAAATATACCTTATATAGGTATGGCCCTACAATATATCATTTAAATATAGCATGATAGGTGTCCTTTAAATATTTGTTTATATTTGGAAAAGCACATTTTTTCCATACGTTGTTTTTAAAAAATTGGAAAGAAAATGTTTCCTTTTATATTGTGAAATATATAGAAATCTGTTTTGGGATGTATGATGATGTACTGAGTCCAGGGTTATATATGTATTACGTAGTGTCTGTCTCTCGTCCCTCATGCCTGTGTGTGTGTGTGTGTGTTGGTAAAGCAGTGAGGACATGTTGATACGACACAAGCTCAGAGGACACTTTGTGACGCCTCCATGTTACTCAACCAAACACTTTAAAAATGGAAAATAATTTCTGGAGTGGTTTGGAAACATTATTGTTAAAATGTGTACATTTTACAAAATATTTTTTTAAAAGTGTATATCATAATATACAAAGTAGTGAATTAGTTAATATATATTAATGCTGAAATTAAATATCGTTATATAACTTTACTTTACCCAGCGGGGTCAGGGGCAGTTTCTGTTTAATAAAGTGACTTCAGAACGTCACAAGTTAACGATTACTAAACATCTATTTACCCACAACACCTAGCGATGAGGGCGAGGACGCATCACGCCATCACACACACACGCCATCACACACACACGCCATCACACACACACGCCATCACACACACTCACCATCACACACACACACACGCCATCACCCACACACACGCCATCACACACACACACACACACACACACACACACACACACACACACAGTGTACCCGCGACTGTTACAATGAAGGCTCGATAATCAGCTCACGGCATATAGGTGTAGGCAGGTGTAAAGTGCTATTTTTTATAAGTGGGGAGTGGACCTAACCTCCTCTAGGGGGTCCGGGGGCATGTTCCCCCGGGAAGATTTGTTTTAAATATTGAAGTAAAAAGCATCAATCTGGTGCACTTTGAGAGCAACATGAAGAGATCTATGGATACCTCTCTCAACACCCATATGAAACAGAACTGTAAGCAGATTTACTTTTTCTTTATGGATATTTTACAAATCACTCCCCTTTTAAACTCTATTCTTGTGTTACTGTCCTATAGTATTTCATACCTGTTTTTCATTTATTCTCTTGTTGTTTTATACCTATAATGATGTGTGCCTCGGAAATACTTATTTACATTAATTGTGACCAAACCGTTTGAGACTCACTGAGATAACTAGACTAAAGTTAACTATCTAAACACTCAGAGAGTCCTCTCCTGTCAGACTGAGTCTCTCAGAAAGTCTCTCAGTCTGACAGGAGAGAGTTCTCCCTCCACCTTGTTGTTGAAAAAGCTCCTTATATCCGTGCAGCTAGCTAGCACCAGATGCTAACCACAACGATCTCCGGCACCGGTGCACGCTCTCTCTCTCGCACGCACACAAAATGGCTCGTGCCACACACACACAGAGCAGAGCTTGAATGAAACACAGAGACCCAGAAGTAGGCTACTTGTACTGTAGCAGATTATTTTCTAATCAATCATTTTTCAAAATATGAATTTCACACATACATTTATTGGGGGTGCTATGGCTATCCTGAAGCATCCCCTGGCGCCGCCACTGTCACAGAGGGTGACTGTCTGTCTACATGATGTGGCCTGCCGACATGGCCACTTTCATACAGATCATACACTAAAGCAGTGGTTCTCAACTGGTGGGTCGCGACCCAAAAGTGGGTCGCGGACCCGTTTGAAGTGGGTCGCGGATGTGTGAGTGAAGAAAAAAAAGTTGAAAAAAAAATTGGATTTTTTTTTTTTTTCTTTTTGGGAAAAAATGCAAACTTTTATTTTGAAGGACCGATTTTCTAACGCTGTGCATGCAGTAGGCGTTGGACTGGAAGTACCGGAGACCATAAATGGTTTTGAAAACTTCTGTCACGTAGTGATCATCTTCTCAATAAAACATCTCTGCTGATGTTTTTTCGAGTCTTCCGGCCAATCAGAATCAAGATTGTTGCCGGAAGTCCCCACGGAGAATAACTGAGGTAGAACTATTCTTTATACATCCATGGGTACAACTTCAGATAAAAATGAACACATAATGAAATATGACCCCCGGTTTGATGATTGACAGGTCACAGAACAATGGGAGCTATCTACCCTTACCCACAATTTAAAGTAAGTCACACACAATCTCCTCTTTGCTCTTCTCGCAGCAAGATGTCAGAACTAAGTGAAAAACAAACAATGGCATAAAATATTATTAATATGTCGGGTAGTAATAGATTTATTTATTTTCTTCTCAGAGTGTACCAGAATGCGTAGTTGTTAGTATTTCTAAAAATCTCCTGGGGGAGAATCCCCCCAGACCCCCCTGCTGGGGTTGGGTTTTCAGCATGTGTGCCTTTTTATATAGTTCAGCTTTGATTCCATCATCTCATTAAACCTTTTTTTAAAGCATACTTTAGTTCTGTGAAGGGATATATGCACTGTACTTCACTTTTATTAATATTGTATTCTGAAAAGCGTATATATTACAGCACGATTTTTTGTTGAATAGATTTGAGTGCTTCAAAATGTTGGGTCACGATGTATTGACCAAGTAAAAAGTGGGTCCCGAGGCCTAACCAGTTGAGAACCACTGCACTAAAGCCCTCGATTGGTCTCTGTGTGTCATTCAAGCTCGGGAGGGTGTGTGTGTATGTGTGGCGCGAGCGAGCGAGAGAGAGCGCGCGCACTGGTTACGTGTATTGTTGTTATTAGCATCTGGTGCTAGCTAGCTGCGCTAACGGATATAAGGAGCTTTTTCAACAACAAGGTGGAGGAGAGTCCTCTGCTGTCAGACTGAGAGACTGATAACGTCAGCTCAGCTGAGGTAAAGGACTCTCTGAGTGTTTAGATAGTTAACTTAGTCTAAGTTATCTCTGTGGGTCTCAAACGGTTTGGTCACCAAGATAAACTTTAAAAACTTGTTGAGAGCTAAAACTAGTCTTTGCCGCTGCCTCAAAGAGGAGCAGGGGGGAGAGGAGGGAGAGGAGGGAGAGGAGGGAGAGGAGGGAGAGTATGGGCTCAGAACAGTCTCATAATACACACATGCACACAAAAGGAGTCACACTTGTATTTCCGGTTCCACACTTGTGTTTTTCCATGCACACACAAATGTGTTCCATTTATGTAAATAAAATCCAAATACAGAAAAAAGTTTTACATATGTATTTTTGATCCACACGTATTGGTTTTCCGTTTAAAACCGCTGCACCTGCAAACACAACCCACTTTCTGTGCATGGATCGCTGTGCATCCGTGTGTGGGTTTTTTGAGACTCCCCTGACGGTCACCGGAGAGGCTGATTCAGGAGCCATTTGAGGTCCACCCCCACTTAAAATATGTTCACATGGATAGATTCCTAAATACATTTGCACACATTTAAATAGTAACCCATGTCCATATGTTTATTATTGGGTAGTAGATTTAAACTATAGGGCTATCACTATGGGCAGCAATGCTGTAAATATTCACAAATAAATCCAGCAAAATGGCACAAAAAGAACTGGTAGTGTCCTGGCTGGGTGTATGATTCCCGGCCTGACTTATTGTCTCAGTCCGGCCCTGAGGTTAAGAAAAAACACTTAAATATATTATTTTTAAGCACAACAATAATACCCAATAAAAGGGACATTTTGAAGCTCATGACCTTTTAAAGCGGACACATTTTTTGGAGGTGATTTCATTAAATCCCGATTTTTTGGAAGTTGTTTTGCTTCAGGTGACATTTTTTTTTCGTGACACAAATTGAGATTTACCTCTTGAACTGTTTGAGGAAAATCCCGATGTTCATCCCTCTCTTAGAGTCCAGAATGGAGACCTGAGACAGAGAGGGATGTCAGTCTGAGGTCAGGAAGAAACTGTCTACACACACACACACACACACACACACACACACACACACACACACACACACACACACACACACACACACACACACACACACACACACACACACACACACACACACACACACACACACTTTAGAATAACACAATAGCTAATTCTTTACAAATAATTTGACTTTAATGAAACTAACACTTGACATTTTACACAATAAGAATTTGCAATTGACATTAAGTGTTGTGCAAAGAGGGCTCTTCAGATTTATGGGAGTCACTTGTTGCTATAGAAATATGGCTGCCAGTAACACACACACACTGTCCCCCCCCACACACGCACACACACACACACCTCCTCTCTGGCCTCCCTGAAGGAGCCCCTGGTCCTCCCCCCCCTTGTGGGCGGGTCTTTCCCGTTTGATTGGCGGTCGTTCTGACCAAACAGATCCTCGATGGTCTGCACGTCGATCTGGTACTGCTGCTGCACCCGACGCTGAGTCCACAGGTTGCTCCGCCCCTTCACCTGCAACACACACACACACACACACACACACACACACACACACACACACACACACACACACACACACACACACACACACACATTTATTGAATCAGACATGAGCGGAACTTGTCAGCACACCCAATACATTTAATATAAGTGCTGAATCATGTCTATTAAATCACTTAATTCTGTCTGTAAGCAAGGCAGAGAAAAATCTCTTTTTTCTTTTTACTTTTAACTTGCATTCTTTCCACATGTTTAACGACGCTGCATCAAACTCCATTGCAAATTCTGTTAATTTAGTGTTTCCATCAATTTCTTTGCAAAATAACCTAATTAATAAACTATGTTCATATATATTTTAAAGAATGAACATGCATTAGTGAATTCGGCTCAATAAAAATGCAATAAAAATGTTAATAAAATGTTTACCTGATCTTCTGGTATGGTTTTCCAGAAGAAACTCCTGACCCTCTTCTTCTTCTTCAGGCCTCCTGCGGGGTCTCCCAGCCCAGGAAGCAGGGGCGGAGGGGGGGGAGGAGGAGGAGGAGGAGGAGGAGGGGGGGGAGGAGGGGGAGGAGCTATATGAGGAGGGGGAGGAGCTGTCATTCGTTTTCCATCGCCATCAGGAAGTCCCTCCTCCAGGACGAATCCCTCCCTCTCATTGGCCGGGGACACGCTGCCCATCACGTGCATCCTCGCCGCCGATTGGACGAGAGCAGAGAGAGGTTGTCGGTCGTCCGGTCACCGTGGTGACGGGTGACCATGGCGACGGTTGTGGTGACGATGATGGAGGCGGGACATCACTCGAGGGTCAGCATAAGGTCGAAGGGCTGTGGAGAAATTAAGGGAAAAATTTGTTAAGTGAGAAAAAACTTCGTAAAGTGAGAAACAATAAGTGAAGTGAGAAAATCTTGGTATAGTGGGGAAAACTTTGTACAGTGAGAAAAAACTTCGTAAAGTGAACTTTGGAAACAGCTAGCATAGCTCTGACAATACGCACCAAAAAACGGTGTAAAAAATCAACAATTTTCCGAATCCTGCGATAATCTTTTTCTTAGCAAAGCACTTAGTTCACAACATTTAAATCGTTTACCGTTATGTTTTTTAAAAAATATTTTCTGTACTTTTATTTTTACCAAAGTGTATCCTCCTCTGTACATGAAAATACTTGAATCACTAAAATCCGGCACTGCTAAATTATTCAACACACAGAGATACACGCACACACACACGCACGCACGCACGCACGCACGCACGCACGCACGCACGCACGCACGCACGCACGCACGCACGCACGCACGCACGCACGCACGCACGCACGCACGCACGCACGCACGCACGCACACACACACACACACACACACAACACACACACACACACACACACACACACACAACACACACACACACACACACACACAGTCCCCCGTGTGAAGTTCTGGAAACATGTCTACAAAAATGTACACTTCCTGCTCATGAATTAAAGATCTGTGTGTGTGTGTGTGTGTGTGTGTGTGTGTGTGTGTGTGCTGTGTGTGTGTGTGTGTGTGTGTTGTGTGTGTGTGTGTGTGTGTGTGTGTGTGTGTGTGTGTGTGTGTGTTGTCTGAGTGTTACATAACTTACGGGCCGTCTCCAAGGCAGCGTTAAAAAATCTTGAAACGCTTCTGCCCATTCACTTTGAATGGGGTGACGTCACTTTTTTTTCGCTTTCGCCGAAATGCATTGTGGGCAGGCGAGCGGAGATTCTCAGGATTTTCAAGATCCAAAGTTGAACAATGTTCAACTTTTGAAGCTGAGGAGGAAGCGTCAGCCAATCAAATGCCGTGTACGCAAATCTGACAGTTCAAGCTCTAGCCAATCAAACGGCGTGTATGCTGGGAGAGACAGACCGCAGGTCATTTCCTCATATTCCAAAACATGGAGGAGAAATTAGCGGTAGCGAATCAATCACCCGGTGCTTTATGACCAGACCTACCGGGATATAAACCGGAGGAGCCAGGCATGGAGGGAGGTGGCAGAGACAGTGGTATGTTTTCGCCTGTTTTGGGGAGTTTATATCCAGTTTACTTCGGGCTTTTTGGCTTCATATGTCGCGGGCGGGAGATTCATGTGATTGGTTGATCGCAAAAAAATCCCCAAGCCTCAGATACGCCCACCTCCAAGATTTTTTTAACGCTGCCGTGGAGACGGCCCGTAAATCTCCATTTGATCGCATGATTTATTCCATCAAACCTCCAGCGTAATCATGCTAACAATGTGTGTGTGTGTGAGTAGTGGTCTGATCCATGTATGTACCACAACATAGCAGCAAACCAATCAGAGCAGACTAATATTTGTTTCTATATTTATTTCTTCTAATCTATTAATTTGCCAACATTTCTTTCTCAATATTTCTATATTATCTCCTTTTTGTATAACTTATTTCCTCTTCATGAGTATATATATGCAACGTTAAGTACATTCCTTAAACCTACCTGCCAATAAACCTGATTCTGATGATGTTTCTAAAGCTGTTAATTCAAGTGTTAACAAATAAAAATCCCTTAAATCAATGAATAATCATGACAAAAAAGAAATCAAGATTATTTGCTTTATTGGTGTTGAGTGCATTGTTGCTTTAAATTGCAGCCGGAACCCAGATTTAAGACATTAAATTAAGATTTAACAGTTATTTTTGGTGTTGATTGGCAGCAGACAGCTGTCAAACCACAACAACCCTTCGTGCTAATTATTCATTTACCACGCTGTTCCTTTATAACGCCGCTGACAGGCATGTAAACTCCGTAGGCAGTGTGTTGGCGGACAGTTTGTGGAGGAATAATAATAATACAAATAATAATGAGGTGGAGGAAACTCTTCTTCACGCTCCGTCACTGCCAGTTATCCGTTCAGATGATTTTTCCTCCGTCAGGATTCAGGAATGTGGAGCGGACACAGATCATAACTGGGTCGACTGGGAGGAAAACTAAACAACAACCAGTGTGTGATGAGTTCATGCACATTTCCCAGCATGCATCAGGAGCTGAGGCGTCACCCGAAGGTGTCGTTAAGCGTGTGAAGTCGTGATGTGTTACACTGTCAATTAAATCAAAGTGAAGAGACTCATGTTTAACTGTTGTATATTTACATAGGAAGAAGTACTATTTACTCAAGGACAACATACCAACATTTAAAATGAACTACTTTAAAGAGTCCTCTCCTGCTGATGTTCAGGTTCATATCAGTATGTAGTGTCTCTATTTTAAAGAGTCCTCTCCTGCTGATGTTCAGGTGTATATCAGTATGTAGTGTCTCTATTTTAAAGAGTCCTCTCCTGCTGATGTTCAGGTTCATATCAGTATGTAGTGTCTCTACTTTAAAGAGTCCTCTCCTGCTGATGTTCAGGTTCATATCAGTATGTAGTGTCTCTATTTTAAAGAGTCCTCTCCTGCTGATGTTCAGGTGTATATCAGTATGTAGTGTCTCTATTTTAAAGAGTCCTCTCCTGCTGATGTTCAGGTGTATATCAGTATGTAGTGTCTCTACTTTAAAGAGTCCTCTCCTGGTGATGTTCAGGTGTATATCAGTATGTAGTGTCTCTACTTTAAAGAGTCCTCTCCTGCTGATGTTCAGGTGTATATCAGTATGTAGTGTCTCTACTTTAAAGAGTCCTCTCCTGCTCATGTTCAGGTGTATATCAGTATGTAGTGTCTCTACTTTAAAGAGTCCATTCCGAGACCATTTACACCACAAAAAGCAGAATAGAGGTTTTATTTGGTGACTTTTTTAAGCCGAATTATCAAGCACATGTTGCCTCTTCAATTAATATGTGTGCTAATTGTTATATGATTGATGAATGTGCTCAAAACAACAGAAAACTTACATTTTTTAACAGATTTTTCAATGGAGTTTGGTGCGTCATTCTTTCTGCTATGGAGAGAATGTGCTATTTGCTTCCATGGCAACAGGTCAGAGTGCCACTGATCGTCGTGGTTACAAACAATAGCAGTTTGTTTACTTGGCAGACAACACAATCTGGGTCAATGTGTGTGTGTGTGTGTGTGTGTGTGTGTGTGTGTGTGTGTGTGTGTGTGTGTGTGTGTTTCCCCTCTCATCCCTCCGTCTTCAAATGCTCGTAAACAAAAGTAAGGTTTCTGCCTTTTGAAAAATATCTAGTGACCGTGTCAAATCGTCGACATCGTCCAATCACGCGACTCGGAATGTAAAAATAGAATGTTGACCCGGTTCACACGGAGGGCTCTGATTGGTCAATGAGGTCAAGGGGTTAATGAGGGAATCTCTGATTGAAGTCAGTTTGACAACTTGTTATTATTTAGTAACTACTGCTACTACCACACACACTACTACTTCATATATGTATTAGGTATACTGTGTACTAATATTTTTTAAATTAGAATAAAATAACAATAGTTAATTTTTTACAAATAATTTGACTTCAATGAAACTAACACTTGACATTTACACAATAAGAAATTAAGAGAATTGACATTAAGTGTTGTGCAACGAGGTCCTCAGATTTATGTGAGTCACTTGTTGCTATAGAAATATGGCTGCCAGTGAAAGTGTACAGTAAAACACACACACACACACACACACACACACACACGAGCCAAAACCAGTTTGAGAAATAATACACTGACAAATATTGACACTCTAAATTAATTTGACCTCTCCTCTTGTCACACACACTGAATAAACATGAGCTCACACACACACACACACACACACTGAAGATGACTCATGCCATGCGACAGGTTAATGTTATATTAAAACTGATTATCTGAGGTTATTACAAGAGATTTTATTATCTGGTAAAACCTCAATGTAGACCTACTTATATGTAGCTATCAAAGCAAAATGACTTATTCTGCACTAAAATATCTCCTGTGACTGATATATTATATATAACATTATTAGATTGTTAATCTTAAGGCATTACAGTTATGGCAGCATGTTACTGCTTTAAAAACCTTTCCAGCAAGTCAGGTTTCTTTAATGTTGACGTTTCCACACAGCTTTACTAATTTTATACTTCAAAATGTGCCTAAATATACTTAATGGAAACGTAATTGTTGTATTTTATATCTGACCATGTACACACCGGTTCACACATCTGTATTTATCCTTTTAACCTTTAGTTGTAGCTGTTAGATGTTAGCTGTTGTTCACATTAACCGTTACATTTTAGATGTTGATGTTAGCTGTTGGCAGATAGCAGCTAACTTTATCTACTAGCTGTTAATGTTAGCGATTAGCAGATAGCTGCTAACTTTATCTACTAGCTGTTCATGTTAGCTGTTGGCAGATAGCTGCTAACTTTATCTACAAGCTGTTAATGTTAGCTGTTGGCAGATAGCTGCTAACTTTATCTACTAGCTGTTAATGTTAGCTGTTGGCAGATAGCTGCTAACTTTATCTACAAGCTGTTAATGTTAGCTGTTGGCAGATAGCTGCTAACTTTATCTACTAGCTGTTAATGTTAGCTGTTGGCAGATAGCTGCTAACTTTATATACTAACTGTTCATGTTAGCTGTTGGCAGATAGCTGCTAACTTTATCTACTAGCTGTTAATGTTAGCTGTTGGCAGATAGCTGCTAACTTTATCTACTAGCTGTTAATGTTAGCTGTTGGCAGATAGCTGCTAACTTTATCTACAAGCTGTTAATGTTAGCTGTTGGCAGATAGCTGCTAACTTTAACTACTAGCTGTGGCAGATAGCAGCTGTTAGCTGTTAATGTTAGCTGTTGGCAGATAGCTGCTAACTTTATCTACTAGCTGTTCATGTTAGCTGTTGGCAGATAGCTGCTAATGTTAGCTGTTGGCAGATAGCTGCTAACGTTATCTGTTAGTTAATGTTAGCTGTTAGCAGATATCTGCTAACTTTATTTACCAGTTGTTATTGTTAGCTGTTGGCAGATAACTGCTAACTTTAGCTGCTGTTAACAGTTAGCAAATGGCTAGTAAGTTAGCTGTTAGCAGCAGCTCCACATTACATTACATTTAGCTGACGTTTTTATCCAAAGCGACTTACAATGACCAATTACAGGGACATTCTCCCTGGAGTAACTAAGGACTAAGTGCCTTACTCAAGGGCACACTAGTGGTGTTGTTCCAGGCGGGATTTGAACTCACAACCTTCCAATCTTCAGCCCACCTCACTATCCATTAGACCACCACACCACAGAGTTACAGTATGATGCGTTCACGCTCTATTCAGTAAAAATTTGTTTTAGACGAAAGGTAATACATATCTTTACCAGGATGTGTTCAAATGTTATCTCCTAAAACATATTTTTTTCACACTATATGAACTATTTGAGAGAGATTCAGGCCTTATCTTCCCAACATAAATTAGTATGCAAATAAAGGAGTGTATGTTCAAGTACAGTCATGACCGAAGAACGAGATCGCGGATACAAGCGGCCGAGATGGGTTTTCTCCGCAGGGTGGCTGGCGTCTCCCTTAGGGATAAGGTGAGAAGTTCAGTCATCCGGGAGGGACTCGGATTTAAGGGAGTCACTTGTTGCTATAGGGTAGGGGTAGAGGTAGACCTAGGACCAGGTGGAGGGATTATATCTCTTCGCTGGCCTGGGAGCGCCTTGGGATCCCCCAGTCAGAGCTGGTTGATGAGGGCAGGGAAAGGAACTTTTGGGGCTCTCTGCTGGAACTGCTACCCCCGCGACCCGACCACGGATAAGCGGGAGAAGATGGATGGATGGATGGATGTTCAAGTACATTGGTCTTGTATTTTCACTGAGGTATTGAATACTTATTGAGAATGTTACTGGTCATTTAGCTAAATCTCTGGTATTGAGGTGCTTCCTTTTGACAAAAAATAATACCGTATTCAACATAAATGAACTACAGCGATCTGCAGTATGTCCACAGAGGTCCAGCCAACCCAGTCTCACGGCATTTCGTGTTATAGTCACAAAATTAATTTAATCTATTGATTCGTGTTCACCAACACAATTTTTGCATCGTGACATTTTTTTCGTGTCACACAGAACGATTTTAAAAGCAATGTATTTCTATTGGTAGTATGTTTCGTGCCTGCACCACGTCTTTTAGTCCGGTCGGGTCTTGGAAGACCGGAAGCTGTGTGGTTCATAAAAACATTTTCTTACTCAATATCTTACCCTGAGCCTAACCCTTTTATTTTAAATTGTATAATGTCGGAGTTTTTTTTGCCGTCCGCGAGGAAAATAAATGGGGCTCAGAGCCTCAGAATACTTATTATTAATTTTCTTTTTTATTCTAATGTACTATTATTTGGTGCAGGCACGAAACACACTACCAATAGAAATACATTGCTTCTAAAATCGTTCTGTGTCAGAATACTGAAATCTGTATTTTTTTTATCTCTTTTTCCTTCTAATTTGTTATTATTTACATTGCATTTAAAATCGTTCTGTGTGACACGAAAGAAATGCAAAAATCGTGTTGGTGAACACGAATCAATAGATTAATTTTGTGACTATAACACAAAATGGCGTGAGACTGTGTTGGTCCAGCTCATATAACAGGTGAGTCAGCGGTCTCTCTACGGGTGTGTCTCTGTGACCCACCTGTAACTCAATTCAACAGAACAATGAGCTGCATGTGAACGCAGCATTTTGTTTGTAATCACTTCAATGTAAAGTTACCAAAGATTGACACCACCATTATCAGACAGGAAGTTAAACTGGTCTTGATTTTACAAGTAAACAGAATTACTTAATTGTTTTTAAATTAATAAAATCTATTGTAATTATCATTATTTCTACATATGTGTTATTGGTGGAAGTCTATGGGAATATAAATAACAAAACTCACTGTTTATCAAATTAAAGACAACGAAATGAAGCATTTTGGTCTTATTTTAAACTGGGAATAGAGATGAAAGTTAACCCATGAATAATAAAACCAAGACTAATTATTATTCTAACATATTTTACACATTGTCAGTGCACGAAAGTGTGATTAACACCCCGAGACGTCGCTGTGACGATGTTTTCTCTGTGAAAAGCTCCAGACAGACTCTGAGTCATTGCAGTTTTAAATATCTTATTTTTATATTTCTGTCTCTTGCAGTTTACAGATTAGCTCCCACTCTTTCTCAGTTTGAGGGTTACAGCAAACAGACTGAATATAAATACCCTCAGTAGACAAATGCATCCAGAAATGTACAATTTTGGGTCTTCAGGATAATGACTTGTACTTAATATTCAGCTGTACTGAATACATGCTAACAATGAGAAGAAACGATCCATTAACCTACCAAAAAATCACCAAATACCAAATTACTCGACCCAGAAATGTCTAATATATGTCCAAGAAACCATATATGAAATTAATCAGGAATGACTAATACATATCCAATAAATATCTAACATTATACCCAGAAATAACCATAAATATGAAACAAACCATCTTATTCTCTGCCCAGAAATAAGCATTAAATAGCCTACAATCATCTAATAATCTACCTATAAATAACCAATTAATATTAAATAAATTATTTACAAAATCTACCCACATCAAACCAAAGAATATCTAAGAAATCCAACAAGAATGATCCAAGAATAATCCAAGAATACATCCAAAGTGTACCTCATAAAGCATCAAAGAAACCATGAACCATCTAGCAAAAAAGATCAGAGAAATATCAGATAAATAACAAGTAAATATGCAATAAACAAAAGAGGAATCCTCACAAAACCTGTCCCGAAAAAAACATTTCAATCTGTCTCCAGAATCACAGACGGACCTCAAACAGAACCTCTGTGGAAACACAAATAAAACTCTCTTATTTACCGGACAAACAACAGTAAACGTGTGTGTGTGTGTGCGTGTGCGTGCGTGCGTGTGTGTGTGTGTGATCAGGGGTTAAGCGAGGACCCCCCACATTGATTTTTTTTTAAACCACCATTTGCATGAAAAACACATCCGTTTTGTACCAAAAACAGTGTTTAAAAAGCTGAAAAGAAATGCCCTTTAAATCTCTGGTTTTACATTTTGGGGGTTACCATGGCTACACTAAACGAAAGGCGAAAAAAAAAACGACCCGAATTTAAAAATGTCATCCGGAGCTCCAGGGGGGGTCAGGGGGTCAGACGGAACATTCACCCAGCTGACGGAGCACCGAGCCTGGGTACAATCTGCCGAAAGCCCTGGGGGGAGAACCAGCAGGAAACACAACTACACACACACACACACACGCACAACCACACACACACCTGCCTTTCTACTGGAGACAACACACACACTTATTGGATGATTTGATGTATGAAATATGATTCATGATATCTCACGATTGACAAAAAAAATACTATTTTTAGCAGATTTTCGTATTTTATTTTGGTTGTTTCCAGGTAGATTTTTGAAGGGCTTCTGCACATTTTTCTGGGGTAGATTTTTGGATGATTTGTTGGATATATATTGGCTATTTCTGACAATTTCTCATAGTTCCTTGAGTATATTAGTAGTAGAAGAAGGACTGTATTATATGTTCTCTGATCCTTTCTGTGACCTACTTGCAGGTGAGTTTCTTATGTTGGCAGTTAGTAATGTCAACACCCGGAGGACTGAAAACCAGTTAAAAACTAATGTAGAAAACCTCCTTTTCTCCCTGCTTATACACTTAAAAGCATGCATGAACTTAATTATAAATTGCTATAGATTTGAATAGAGTACTGAAGGAGTACAAAGCACATTTTCAGAAAATAAATCCAACATTTTCTGTCTATTTTGACTCTGGCAATTTAACGATATGCACGTATTATCATATTTTAAGTTCTAATTTATAAGATATTTTAAAAAGGTGCATTCATAGTGAAGCTATACGTCACTGAGACTTAGTAAAAGAGAGTTATAGCGGCACTAAAGTGGAAAAAATACCAACAAAAACACAAATACTATAATATGTACTTCAAGAGATATTATAGAAATACCACATATAACTAAACACCAGAGAGTCAGTAATGTAATATTTATACTTCAGTGAACAGTAAAGCAATAACACTGCACATAAAGCACCACATACAGTAATTTAAAGTATATTTTAGAGGTATTAGATCAAGTAAGCGCCATAAAGTCAGTAAAAGACAACTCCCAATGACTAATCTTGATATTTTTTAGAGGATAAACACAATAAAAACATTTTAAATTAAGGTTATTCTGAGCAGAAAAGACACACTGTTTGTCTCTTTATGGTAAGCTATATTCACAATATCACTATAGGAGTATTATGAGACATAAATACTCCAAACACACTGCAGAAATAGGATAAATATAATATTAATATATTAAACACCACGTAAAAAAACCCTCAATGTTGATTTTACTACAAAAAACCTACAAGGATATTCTATAAACATTAATAAATGAGCCACAGATGCATTTAATGACCATCTAAACACAACACAACATAGGAATATTTAAGACCTTAAATTCTAATGTAGTGTCACTGCCGAGTTATTCTAGAGATTAAACACTATAATAAAAACCACTATAGGAATATTACAGATGCTAAATATAAGCTGTTTTACCAAAAACAGGTAAAATGTGAGTGTAGTCTGGAGGGGGTTCAGAAACACAGCCTGTTAGCACGCAGAGTTAATTCCCACCAGCACTAATGTGAACTGGATGTCACATTTATACCATCAGGGGTTAAAAACAAATACAAATAAAGGGTAATTAGAGTCTAAACTCACCGGGGTGAACGGCTCCACTGATGCGGGCTTTCGTGCTCCAAACCCCGGATTAAAAACCTCCAAATGGACCGAAAATAAGGCTCACTAATCCCGGTTGGCATCCACAGGCAGCGACCGACACACACACTGACACCGGCTGCATGCGTGTGTGTGTGTGTGCGTGCGTGTGCGTGTGTGTGTAAGAGAGAGAGAGAGCATTCCTGCGAGAGAGCGAGAGAGAAAGAGGTCTGCGCATGCGCGATCACTCAGGTGGAAGGGAAGGCGCTTTCTAACGAACACGCCCACCTGCTATGAGGGAGAGAAACACACACACACACACACACACACACACACACACACACACACACACACACACACACACACACACACACACACACACACACACACACACACACACACACACACACACACACACACACACACACACACACACTTAACTGTGTGTGGCCAAGATAAGCTCTACCAGTCCCACCCTTGGCAAAAAAATGACAACATACACACACATATACACAAAAATACACACATATACAACAAAATACACACATACAGTGAGTATGCTGTAGCTTTAAATCAGTCAGTAAATGTAGTAAAAAAACAATATACTGTTTGAGTAAGTATTACGCTGCAAAAATGTTATTTAAATAAAGTACTTGAGTGAATAACCTTTGCTGCAGTTATTTATTTAATGACAAACTATACAGTCCTGACAAAAAGTGAATCAACACTTTCACTACAATAGGGTCCATAGATGAAACACACACACACACACACACACACACACACACACACACACACACATCAAATGAGTTTTAGTGTTGCCTGGTGAGTAATTGCCTCTCTTTGACAACATTACCACAAACAGACCAGGGTCTTATTATAAAAACACCCGATTTAAGAGAGGAACCCACTCTATACTAACGCAGTATTTCCATTTTATGCTACTGTATACTTTTCCTCCACTACATGTATTTAATACCTTTAGTTACTTTACAGATGTGGATGAATGATGTGAAATATAATCAAGTGTTAAATCAGACTTTAGTTCCACCTGGAGTAAATTCACAAGCTACCCTGCAGTATACAAAGTCATTCAAACTAGCTGCACCTTTACCAGCTTTGAGAACACTTTCATGATCAATCATTATAAAACATATCATATATATTATTCTGAAATGGACCAATCTGCACAATGACTACCTTTACTGTCGCTACTTTCACTATATTTTGATGATAATACTTTTCTACTTTTACTTGAGGAATATTTTGAATGCAGTACTTTTACTGTAACAGAGTATTCCTACACTCTGGTACTTCTACTTTTACTAAGTACAAGATCTAAGTACTTCTACTTTTACTCAAGTACAAGACCTGAGTACTTCTACTTTTACTCAAGTACAAGACCTGAGTACTTCTACTTTTACTCAAGTACAAGACCTGAGTACTTCTACTTTTACTCAAGTACAAGATCTGAGTACTTCTACTTTTACTCAAGTACAAGACCTGAGTACTTCTACTTTTACTCAAGTACAAGATCTGAGTACTTCTACTTTTACTCAAGTACAAGATCTGAGTACTTCTACTTTTACTAAGTACAAGACCTGAGTACTTCTACTTTTACTAAGTACAAGACCTGAGTACTTCTACTTTTACTCAAGTACAAGACCTGAGTACTTCCACTTTTACTCAAGTACAAGATCTGAGTACTTCTACTTTTACTCAAGAACAAGATCTGAGTACTTCTACTTTTACTCAAGTACAAGATCTGAGTACTTCTACTTTTACTCAAGTACAAGACCTGAGTACTTCCACTTTTACTCAAGTACAAGACCTGAGTACTTCTACTTTTACTCAAGAACAAGATCTGAGTACTTCTACTTTTACTCAAGTACAAGACCTGAGTACTTCTACTTTTACTCAAGAACAAGATCTGAGTACTTCCACTTTTACTCAAGTACAAGACCTGAGTACTTCTACTTTTACTCAAGTACAAGATCTGAGTACTTCTACTTTTACTCAAGAACAAGATCTGAGTACTTCTACTTTTACTGTCGCTACTTCCACTATATTTAGATGATAATACTTCTCTACTTTCACTCGAGGAAGGTACAAACCAAACGTGGAAATCACCTGAAATCCCAAAACACAAGAAGAAGTATCCTCATTATGAAACTGACTCTAACACGTTGGTCGTATTTAAACAGTTACACAGTTTGTTTGCTTTAAATAGATTTATTTGGCAGTTACAACCAAACACAAGAAAAAAACAATTCATTTACATTTTGGTCCTTCTTTTAAACATTGATACGTCAAATAAACACAATCCCCTTTGAACCCTTTCTTTTTGGTCTGTTTGATGCGTTTTGAGAGGATTTCTTTAAACCTGTATTGTGATCAGTTGGAGGACAGTCAGCGGGCAGCGGCTCTGAGTCTGACGCTGGAAAACCCCAAACTTCTCCACACAGGTCACTGGGATTCACCTTTCACTTGATGTTCTAAATCAAGTGGGACAGGTCGAGGAAACGCACTCACTGGCGGAAAACAAATCACATTTTTACACAAACATTGCATAGTTATTGTTGTTGACACACAAACAAAAACACATCTATTATACATGCTAACAAAGAGGGAATTCACAGGAAGTATTTAAGGCAGATTTAGCTTTGGATAGTGTGCAAAGAGTGCGAGGAAATATACATAATAATGACATCATGATGCAATTAAATATAACAGCGCCTTAAAACGCAACATAAATCAAAAGTGTTTTTGGTCTCAATTCAGGAGAAAAACACAGAAAAAGTGGAAGAATTATTCAGTATTTTCCACTAAATATCTGGATTTTAAAGGCGTGGTTTTTGCGTCGTTGTTGAAGGGAAATATTGTCGCCTTTCCTCCCACATAAACCCTAAACCCCAGTAAACAAAGGAATGAAACTGTTAAAAAGTACGTTAGCCGTCTTCAAACTGGAACAAAGCAGCAGAACGTAATGTGTTTTAAATGTGCGTCTGGACGGTGGAAACAAGGTCATTTTATGAACTTAATGAAAAGGAATAAAGCCTAAGTATATTACACAGTTATCCACAGACAGAGGATTAAATACTTTCTGATGAAATGTTTCATATAAATTGGTTTTAACGGATGTTTCTTCGAGGCGCATTGTTTTGGCTCGTCACAAATTACGTTTTTTTATCTTCTTGTTGAGGAAACTCTACGCTTTTTTGTTTGCTTCGGTCCTTGTTTGCTCCCCTTGGTGCCGCCTCCACCTCTCTTTACCAAGAAGAAGAAGGTCGGGTTTTAAGGCTAAATAAGCTGATTCGTTTCAGAGTTTAAAGACTCATTATGCTGACTCATTTCAGAGTTTAAAGACTCATTATGCTGACTCATTTCAGAGTTTTAAGGACTCATTATGCTGACTCATTTCAGAGTTTAAAGACTCATTATGCTGACTCATTTCTGGGTTTAAAGACTCATTATGCTGACTCATTTCTGGGTTTAAAGACTCATTATGCTGACTCATTTCTGGGTTTAAAGACTCATTATGCTGACTCATTTCTGCGTTTAAAGACTCATTATGCTGACTCATTTTGATGACACGTTTTAAGGACTCATTATGCTGACTCATTTCTGGGTTTAAAGACTCATTATGCTGACTCATTTTGATGACACGTTTTAAGGACTCATTATTCCGACTCATTTCAGGGTTTAAAGACTCATTATGCCGACTCATTTCTGGGTTTAAAGACTCATTATGCTGACTCATTTCTGGGTTTAAAGACTCATTATGCTGACTCATTTCTGGGTTTAAAGACTCATTATGCTGACTCATTTCTGCGTTTAAAGACTCATTATGCTGACTCATTTTGATGACACGTTTTAAGGACTCATTATGCTGACTCATTTCTGGGTTTAAAGACTCATTATGCTGACTCATTTCTGGGTTTAAAGACTCATTATGCTGACTCATTTCTGGGTTTAAAGACTCATTATGCCGACTCATTTCATGGTTTAAGGACTCATTATGCTGACTCATTTCTGGGTTTAAAGACTCATTATGCTGACTCATTTCATGGTTTAAGGACTTCTTTTTGATGACTAATTTCAGCATTTTACAACCTGTTATGCTGACTCATTTGAGGGTTTTAGGACTCATTCCTGCACCTCTCTTTGTTGAGCATGGATCGATAGACTCGCTTCTCTTACGTCACATCTAATCTCTGATCCAGAACAAAACACCGGCTCTCAGATGAACCAGATTCTGAGCTTTTTAGTGAAATAACTTCCGATGGCTGCAGAAACAGAGGGAATGTTTTGGTGCCGTTTCAGAGGCTGAGAGTTTCTGAGAGTTTCTGACTGCGGAGGATTTGGAGTTCAAAGGAAAGCTTAGTGCCGCTCAGGATTATAGCTTTACTCCAAACGCACGGAGACTGAGTTCAGAAAACTGCAAGTCTGTGGAAAAATATATGAAGTACAAAAAACAATTCTTCAAACCACAGACAGTTGGTCTGGAGGCGTCGGGTTCATATCTATTATATCAAATATTTAGCATTTCTCTAAATAAAAACCCAATTATTAGCCGACTAATTGGGAAATTAGAGATATCTCACTCATTCCTTGTAGCAAGCATTTCATAGATTGAAGGTGATAACTTAATAAACTCAAAATGGAAGGAAATGAAATGGAAAAAATAAACATGAGAATTGGAAATAAAGTTTGGGGAAGAACGGGTGGATATAATAATGATGCTGACAAAATGGATGGAGTCCTATTTGGTAATTATATATTTCATTTGACATTATTTCCCTTATTTCTTTACTTTATTTTATCAGTGACATAAATAATAATCCTGATACATTTCCTGTAATGTTTTTAATTTTTTTTTAATTGATGACTAACCTCTGATTTGCTGATTATTTTAATATATTTTTAGCAGTATTGTATTTTGTTGTATTTTAGAATTAAATAAATAAAACCCTGAGAAAAAAAAGGATTTTAGACACTTTTAGAGCAGGAAAATGACATCTTGTTCAAGCCTTTTTAGACCTGAATAAACTCAGTCAACATCCATCATATTTAATTAACCTCTAATCTATTTAACTTCCCCATTTCTGTAGCAAACATTTATTTATCCAGAGTTTCCCAGAGGTCTGAAATCAAACCCAACCTGACTCTCCCAAATCCACCGAGCGTCTTCACTCCATTAATCCCAAAAACACCCGAGCTCGAGGCTGATTCTTTTTGGTTTTTCCGTGTCGTCAGCTCTCCTCCAACCAGGACGGAGCGTCGACAGCTGGGTTCGTGAGGCGTTCACTGACCTGCTGGACGTTTTTTTGGAGGAAATTCTGACACGATAAACTGTGAGCGGCGACGGCGCTGTGAAGCAGAAACAGCTGCTGGTGGAGGACCTTCACCTGCGGGGAGGATACGGATAATATATTATATTTAATATTCTCTATCCACGCCATTCTGTCATACTGTATGTTATCTGGTTATATCTGTGTGAGCGTGAGTGTGTGTGTGTGTGTGTGTGTGTGTGTGTGTGTGTGTGTGTGTGTATGTGTGTATGTGTGTATGTGTGTGTGAGTGTGAGTGTGTGAGTGTGTGTGTGAGTGTGCGAGTGTGTGTGTGAGTGTGAGTGCGAGTGTGTGAGTGTGTGTGTGTGTGTGTGTGAGTGTGTGTGTGAGTGTGTGTGAGTGTGTGTGTGAGTGTGTGTGTGAGTGTGTGTGTGAGTGTGAGTGTGAGTGTGTGTGTGTGTGTGAGTGTGTGAGTGTGTGAGTGTGTGTGTGTGTGAGTGTGTGTGAGTGTGTGTGAGTGTGTGAGTGAGTGAGTGTGTGTGTGTGTGAGTATTCTAAATGAAATACCATAATGTCTAACGCTAAGATCTGTACTCTTTCCTTGTTAAGTTACAATATACTTAAGACCGTTTGTAATGTTTCTTATGTTAGGACATTTAACATTTAGAAGTATTAATTGATTTGGTTTGTGAAATCAAAGAGGATGTTTTTGCAGCTCTAGTGATGGTACTCCTCCTGTCCTCTCCCAGCTGTTTTATCATTTAGTATTATTACACATTTAGTCATTTTCAATGCATCCGTATTTAAATGTGTGGAGGTGGAGAAAGACCCACCTTGTTCTCCTGCAGCAGCTTCACTTTGACGGACAGGTCCTCTCTGATCCTCTGGTACTGCTCCCTCTGGTTCTGGAAGTCTCTCTGCGCCTGCTCCAGTTTGGGAAGAGTTTCAGGGTCTCGGGGTCCGAGGTTCAGCTCCTCCAGATCCACACGGTACGCATCGTACTGGATCCTGGGAACAGAGGGAAGTTTAACAATATTTCTGTACAACCAAAACTAGAAGGGCGTTCGGAGAGAGAAGTAGTCATCGGATTCAAGACAAGTTTCAAGGAGCCTTCCCTTGACCCATGCTGCAACCTTTCCCAAAGTTTCATGAACATTGGGCGTGTAGTTCTTCTGTAATCCACCATGGCTCAAAAACCAGGTCCTAGCAACAATGTAAAAGGCAAAACTTTGAGCGTTTTTTTCTTTTAACGACTTCCCCTGTTTTCAAGAATACCATCCAATGCTGTCCCTCATGCTGTGTTCAAGTCACTTCTAATAAATCAAGGAAATGGGAAACCTTGTTACAGCCAGGCCTGATGGTAGAGAGGGCAAAAGTCCACACATCCTTTACTCAAGTAGAAGTACAGATACTCGTGTTTAAAAATACTCTGGTGAAAGTAGAAGTACTGACTAAACTTCTTTACTCAAGTAAAAGTAAAGAGGCTTTGAAATGTACTTCAGTAAAAAGTACCCATAACTAGCAGCTGTTTTAAAGAGTACCTGACCTCCCTTTATATTAATAGAACAATAATGTCATTGTTAGCTAATGAATGTTTCCATGCTGAACAACGGCAACATGACAACGTTTTCATTGGTCCCTCTTCTTTAGAGAAGACCAGGAAATGATGGATACACGGATCGTGTTCAAATCAATAGGCACGCAATGACTCTAAATAATAATGATCACGCCACCAAACACACATTCAAACTAAAGGAACCAGCCTGTTTGGGAAATGTAAGAAGTAGAAAGTACAGGTATTTGTGTTCAACATGTAAGAAGTAGAAAGTACATGTATTTGTGTTCAACACGTAAGAAGTAGAAAGTACAGGTATTTGTGTTCAACATGTAAGAAGTAGAAAGTACAGGTATTTGTGTTCAACATGTAAGAAGTAGAAAGTACAGGTATTTGTGTTCAACATGTGAGAAGTAGAAAGTACAGGTATTTGGGTTCAAAATGTAAGAAGTCAAAGTAAAAAGTCGTCAGAGAAATAAGTCGTGGAGTAAAGTACTGATACCAGAAACTTGTACTTAAGTACAGTAACTAAGTATTTGTACTCCACTACTTCCCACCTCTGATGACGGGTAATCTGTGACGTTGTGCTCTCGAGAATGTCAGGCCATTTTGTTCTCATGAGCCAATGAGCAGCTCTCATAGGAATGAACAAGCCCCGCCTCCAACGCTGTATCCAGTTCTTATTAAACATCCATTCTTATTAAACATCCATGTTCCCCACCTGCCGGCCTCGTACTGCTTGGCGTTGATCATGGTGTCCTCGATGGTTTTGTTCACCAGCGTGTTCATGTCGGAGGTGAAAACGTTCACGGCCGTCGTCAGCGTCTCGTTGCTCTTCGACAGAAACCTCTGAGCCTCGGCGTTCAGACCGAACTCCACCTGAAGAGACGGAGACGTTTATATCCCTGTTTATTCACCTTTAACATACTTTAAAGGAAGCTGCAAGCACTCAATAACTCTTTATGATGCTACAAGCTTTAAAAACCCTTTAAAAATAAAATCTTTGATATTAAACAACTGGTGTTACACTATATATCAATACAATCTGTATTTGTATACACACTACTGTCTTTATTGTAATTACAGTAGTAGTTACATTTTTATGTTCACTTTTTAACTTTAATTTCCTATTTTTATTTAAATGTGTGTCCGTTTGTGGCATATTTTTTATTATTATGTTTATTTTTATGTTTTTATTCATTTTAATTTTATATATTTTTAGTGCACATTTTAACTGTAAATTATTTTTTAATATAATTATTTGTTATGCTTTTTATCTTTTTAGGGTTACATCTATAAAAATACATTTACACGCAAATATATAATTAAAATTCTTATGTCTATATAATATATTTTATTTTTGTATTTATACATTATTCTAAATAAAATGTAACATCTAAAAAATAACATTTAAAAAAAAAAGGCATATGTTATTGTTTCATCAAAGCTAGACTCACGTGCAGCGTTGGTGTTTTGACGCTGAGATCGGCGAAGGCGTCCCCCAGTGTCTTCTGGGTAACGGAGAACTGAGTGAGCTGATTGGCCAGCGTCTGGGCGAGCTTGGTCATGTGATCGTAGCGCTGCCGGTCGTCCTTCAGAAGCTCCAGCCGAGGCTCCAGATCCAGATCCACAGTCCGAGAACCACGACCCAGTTTCTCCGAAAGAGCCTGCCTTGTGCACTGCAGGAGGAATATTTGAATATTTATCTATAAATAGTGGTGCAAACTTAGAAAAAACATCATGGCTAGGGGTCATCTCCCAATATATAAAAAAAAAAAAAAAAAAACACATGTTCTGCATATCTACAGTTAGGAAACAGCCATATAAATGTGTTTTCGTGAAACAGCGCCCCCACCTTCCATTTGTGGCCATTCAGGCAGAGAGTGGTACTGCAGGTAGACAGCGTTAGTTTTTGTATTTATTAGAATTTTTATCAATAAATGGTGGTTCAAACTTAGAAAATACATCATGGAAAGGGTCATCTCCCAATATTTTAAAATAAAAATAAATTAAAACCAATTTTCTGCATATCTACTGTTAGGAAAACAGGCATATAAATGTGTTATGGTGAAACAGCGCCCCCACCTCCCCATTAGTCCCCATTCAGGCAAAGAGTGGTACTGCACATAGAAGATTTTAAATCTAAATTAAATGTATAATTATAGTGTTATAAAATATGTCTCTCACCTTGTATCTGGTGATGCTCCACTTGCGGACTCTTTCCAGCTTCTCAGTGGCCGGGTTCTTGTTGTTTCCTTGAATAACCACAGGATCGTTTTTCTGAGGGGTCCCTGAAGGGGTCGGGGTCAACAGTTAATATGGATTCACATCACAACAAAACAACGTAATTAAAGTAAACAATTGATTTAGTTTACTTTCAAAGCTGAACACTGGCGGGGCCTCAGCTGGACAGGAAGTGACATTGTTGTCTGCGTGGTTGCAGTTACTGTTAGCGTCCTGTAGGAAATTAAAAAGGAAGTCAGACACTACATACTGATATACACCTGAACATCAGCAGGAGAGGACTCTTTAAAGTAGAGACACTACATACTGATATACACCTGAACATCAGCAGGAGAGGACTCTTTAAAGTAGAGACACTACATACTGATATACACCTGAACATCAGCAGGAGAGGACTCTTTAAAGTAGAGACACTACATACTGATATACACCTGAACATCAGCAGGAGAGGACTCTTTAAAGTAGAGACACTACATACTGATATACACCTGAACATCAGCAGGAGAGGACTCTTTAAAGTAGAGATGCTACATACTGATATACACCTGAACATCAGCAGGAGAGGACTCTTTAAAGTAGAGACACTACATACTGATATACACCTGAACTCATTTCTAGCAGTCCAAACCTTGTGTACCGTTGCTCCAAAATTAGCGCTGATCTCTCTATACAAAGGAGCTTAACTTGTTTACTTCAAGGAGCTGAATTAAAGTCCGTAAAAAGCAGATTTGACAGCGAGCTGGCAGGTTCAAATCCCTGACTCTATACTTCTTCTATGCCACTGCCCAGAAGCCCTACAGCTGGATTTTTTAAATTTCCCACTGCATTTGAAGGCAGCATCAGTTCCTAGAACAGGAACTGAGAGGTCAGAGGTCAGAAATCAAAGCGCCGTGGCAACCTGAGGATCGCCGTGGGAACCGGGAGATTAGCAGGCGGCCAATCGGAAGCCAGATCAAAAGGTTGTGAGGTTGCCATGGAGATGATGGCTCCCCGCTGCGATTGGCCGCCTGGCAGTGCTCACCTGACGCAGATGAGAGGACACACACACACACACACACACACACACACACACACACACACACACACACACACACACACACCCCTTTCTAAAGGTTAGTGTGACAGGAAGTAGCCGCTCCAAAAAGATGGATTTAAAAAAATAAATGTATCAGTTCTCATTCAATAAAACCACATTTTCCATTTGAACAAATCGTGACAGCGTTATAACTTACTGAGTAGAGCCTGAACGCACCATAACGCTACTTGAGCATATTAAATACAAATGTGGATTTTGTTTGGTGCCATCAAGCAGTAAACGACGATGTCATGACTCGGTTATAACATGCTTTAATGAATTAACATTAAATCGACCCTTTATTGCTTCTCCGCACGCAGGTGAGTCACTTCCTGTTTCAACAATGGCCGCTTATCTTCCTCTCTGATAACATTATGAACGCTGTTCCTTTCCTTTCATTCTGCTGTGTGAGGAGGATCTGTAAAGAACCAATACACCACACACGTACGTCTGTTTGGTGTGTGTGTGTGATCAGCTGATTACACACACACCAGTCAGTGTTACACCCCGGATTAACCAGTGTTTACTCTATAGTTTGAATGCATTTACCAAATAATTCAAGGCTTTTTTTTTTACAAGAGTACAAATTATATATATAAAAAATAATGTTTTTACTTTTAAAAATGCATGCTGCAATGCTTTTTTTGTTCTTTTTTAGCTTTATAGAAAATGTCAATTGTTTTTTAAAATTGATTAAAAAAAAAAGGAGGGGGCTGAGTTCATGCGGGACCCGGCAGCTACTGTCTAAACTAAATACTGCCGTGATGAAACGCCATATCATGGATTATCAAGGATTATTTCTGAAACAGTATGGAGCTCAACGGAGGAAAAGAGAGAGGGTTTTATTTTCTGACGCTGCATGAGTTCCCCGACACACCGGGGACACATATTTATGTATAAAAGACTTCAAAAAGTGCATTTTGCATGATAGGTCCCCTTTAATTGATTGTTGTGGGAGTATTACTGCATAAATTAGCCACATTGTAATATATGTTACCGTGGGATGAGCGTCCTCTTCCCCCTCCTGTGCTCCTCCTCTCTGCTCCACCTCCTCCATCATCTTCTACTCACTCCTGCAAACAGACGAAGAAACATCAATAAATAAAGTTTATATATAAATGTATTATTGAGAAATCCTGACAGAAATCAGACTTTTAAAGCGGAGAGTTTATCCAACACAGGCTGAAGCTGAAAGTGTTTGAGTTGCGTATCTCAACTCTTATTTTAATTAAGTAATAATTAATAATTTACTAGCTATACAATTGTATTTATTTCATCTTGTATATTTAGTGTAGAGGAATATTTAAAAGTATTGAAAGATTTTTTTATGGCATGAATTTATTTAATTTAATTTATTTTATCGATGATTTTTTAAATGAATTATTTAGGTTGAATTTAATCTTTTTTTATATTTATTTATTTATTTGTTACTTTTTTTGTATTTACTTTCCTTTTTCTATTTATCCTGTTTCCTCAATTTCTCCTCAATGCAGAATAATGTCGGAGTGGGTAAGCAGCGCCCCCTGGTGGTGAACAGGCAGAAGCACACATATCCGTCTACACTGAAAAAACTAAAATGTTGACCTTAAATTAAATGTGTCATGTCAACACATTTCACATAACTGTATCAGGTTAGCTGAAAGCAATACTATTAAAGTTAAGTTAAAAATATTAGGTTCAACTTATTACTATTGCTTTCACCAAACCTAATATAATTATGGGGCTTTTTTGACATAATACATTTTATTAAAGTGTATTAACTGGAAGGTAACTCAGGGATTTGAGCCTTTGCAGACCATTTACATGCATCCAAACCTAAAGGAAAGCATACTGGGGCCTCTTTGAAACAGGGTGAGGGTTAAACCTAAAATAAAATAATTAATTCAGTTCAATGATAAGATGTCTGATACACCTTTACCTCTTTCCCGTCTGAAGTAATAAAGTAATGCACCTTAATCTTCAGTCAGTGCAAAGTACAAATCATCTCAGGTGTTTTGATAAGTAACAATATATAAAGTGAGCTTTGACCTGAGAGGGGATAACAATTATAGATTAAAGTTTGGTTTGATTTCAGCATTACGTTTTTTTCCCCCGTACATGACAACACTAGTATAGCTATTTAAATTAATGTTAAACTGTGGTTATCTGTACTTCTGCTTACCAACAGGAAGATAGATAAGATTTAACTTCCGCATGAACAGCGTTTTGTTTCATGTACGTTGAATAAAATACAACTGGGTCACAGTTAGCTTATTATCCACCGTTCTACTTTTTAGATAGACGGATAGGTAGGTAGGTAGGTAGGTAGGTAGGTAGGTAGAGAGAGAGAGAGAGAGAGGTAGGTAGGTAGGTAGAGAGGTAGGTAGGTAGAGAGGTAGGTAGGTAGGTAGGTAGGTAGGTAGGTAGGTAGGTAGGTAGGTAGGTAGGTAGGTAGGTAGGTAGGTAGGAGGTAGGTAGGTAGGTAGGTAGGTAGGTAGGTAGGTAGGTAGGTAGGTAGGTAGGTAGGTAGGTAGGTAGGTAGGTAGGTAGGTAGGTAGGTAGGTAGGTAGGTAGGTAGGTAGGTAGGTAGGTAGGTAGGTAGGTAGGTAGGTAGGTAGGTGGGTAGGTAGGTAGGTAGGTAGGTAGGTGGGTAGGTGGGTAGGTGGGTAGGTGGGTGGGTGGGTGGGTGGGTAGGTAGGTAGGTAGAGAGAGAGAGGTAGGTAGATATTTTTGGGATATGTAAGCCATAAAGTGATATATAAACACATCAATATTCTTACTTTAAACTGCTTTATGAAGTTTTTTATTTTTCTGGCATGTGTATATTGAGGATTATCCCCCTTACAATAAACCAGTTTGTATTCAGGACTTTTTATACATTGTTTTCTTATATAAAGAAAGTAACTGGTAGCTAATTATGACAGATAATAAGTACAAAAAGTGCATTATATTCCCTGACATGAAGTGGAATTGATGTATAAAGAAGATAAATACACACAGAAAGTACTAACTTGTGCTTTAAGTATTTAAATACAACTACAGTATTTAAAATGACCATATAATGCATTAGCTTTGGTTGGGTTAAGCTAAAAAACTAGCATGTTTAGTGTAAAAAGCTCAGTTTGTTGATGTTTTTAAGCTAAAGTAACTGAAGACATTTTGTCCCCTTCTAACCAGGTAAACTCTGCTGATATATTAACTGTTTCCACTCATAACCAAGTGATTGGAACCGATGTAAATATCACTTTTAACTTGTTTACGTAACAATAACAGTATTTAAAGAGGTTAAAACGGATAAAAACAGACATTTTAACGTTTCTTTTTACCTTCAGGGCGTTAAAAACAAACTTCCTTCTTCTTTTAACGGTCCGTGTTTCTTCTTCCGTCTTCTATCTGTTATCTTTTCATATTTATTTAACAAAACAAACCAAACTTAAACCGCTTTAACAAAAAAAAGCTACCAACTTAAAGGAAGCGTCAAAGACACCCGGAAGTGTTTTCTTACGTTCCTTACGTTTTGTCTGACGCAGAGGGGGCGCTTGATGTGTTATTCCTGTGCAAACCGGAGGGGCGGGGACATCTTCTTTTCACACAAAAGGAACCCAGAATTTCAAAGTTCTTTATTTTATATTATTAGTACATTTCCTAAAGACAAATCTCAGTATGATAAAGTGAAAGTTTTGTGTCATTTAACATGTTTTATTTATTTTCCAAACCCCTTAAGTTGTTAAGAAGTGAGAATGCAACGCACTTATTTTGAATAGATTGATGCATTAAAGATATCATATTATTGAATTTCCCTTCTCTTAAAGTACATATATTTTCCTGTCCGATGTATAGTAGAATAAGAGGGTGGCACATCATGGAAATAAGGTAAAAGTGCCTCAAAAATATACTTAAGTTCAGTAAATAAGGGTTAAAAATAGGCTGTAAATTTAATTTTCTTTGGTGATGTTTTCCTGTGTCACGCCCATCGTCCGCTGGAGGCGAAGTTTCTGCTCATGCTGTAGACGGTGGGTGAACTCTGGTGTTTCCCCCACGCTGAGAGAGGGACCACGATGATGGAGGCGTTATCCTCCGAGCCGTACTGCAACGCCTGCAGAAACACACAGAACAACATATTAAAGAGGGATGTGTAACGTCTCCTCTGGTCTCTTGTGATGGTGTTTGAGCATGAGTTAGTACCAGAAGGAAGATCCTTCGGCACGTCTGTTTTTTGCCAAACTACATAAAATAAAACGACTGAATTTAGGACGTTCGTTTTCCCCCACACATTTTTACCATTAAACTGATTTATGTGATTCAAGCTTTGAATCACTGGCTGTCGTTTGTTTTGTGAGAATATCAGGTTAAAATATTCTGCTGTATTTTGTATATAAGTCGTGCACCTGCTGAGCAATGACCTCTGCGGCCTCGGTGGGGTCGTGGCACTTGTTGATGACATCACAGATCTCCTGGTCGCTCAGCAGGAAGTTGATGCCGTCGGTGGTCAGAGCGAGAAACGAGTCGGTGTCGTGATTCAGCTGCAAAGACACACACATTTAAAATTCAACCTTTAAATAGAGGTTTTATGTCTCAAGTTATTGTGCTTTTTATATAACCACGGCCCCACACACACACAACACAGACTACAACACCCCTTGTTGTTAAATACCAACTAACTATGTGCAATATATATATATGCCGTTAATAACTGTGCAATAAATACCTGGCTGCTAAATCCTCAGAACTGTTACAGGATGTTCTGTTCTTGTTCTTATCATATTGTATTTACATGTATAGAGACTTTTTGCACTACTTTTTATTATGTATTTTGTATTTTTGTATTTTATTATATATGTTGGATTGTTGGAGGAGCTCAGGTCAGAAGAATGTGGCTCTTTTCTGCTGTAACAATGTAACTTCCCCCTCTGTGGGACGAATAGAGGGATTCTGATTCTGATCGTATCTTATCTTAGATATTAACTACGTAGTGTGTAATAGTAGTGTGTATTTGTGTGTATTTGTGTGTATTAGTGTGTATTTGTGTGTACTGACGGTGACTCTGTGTGTTTCCGGCTCTGCGATGACGCCGCTGGTTTTCAGGTGAAAGTCTCCGATGCTGCGCGTCATGGCGAGGCGTCCGTTAACGTGAGAAACACCGGCGCTGTTCCACGTCACGAAGCCCCCGCACCGCTTTATCCTGACACACACACACACACACACACACACACACACACACACACACACACACACACACACACACACACACACACAGTATTTACATTTTCTAAGTATTAAATAACCCAAGAAACGTAGAAAATGTAGAAAAAATCTGAAAAATATACGAAATATCCTAGAAAAATAATTAGAAAGAAAATAGAGACAAAAGAGAAATTGAACTAGTTCTGATAAATGTCTGACATGCGTGATCTTTATTTAAAATGTTAGAAAAATATACAAAATATACGTGTGAAATAAGTAGAAAATTGAGGCACACAGATAATAATATAAAGTCCAACAAATTTGAGAAATTCCCCCAAAATGTATGAAATAAATCAGTGTGATGTATATATATTTATAAATATATATGTGTATATATGTGTATATGTACCTCTCCCTCTCGTCCTTCAGGTCGGGGCAGTGATCGCGGGTGAGTTTCTTCGCCTCCCCCCCTCGACTCAGGATGGCCCGGCTGTCTCCAGCGTTGCCGACCACGAGCTCCTCGCCCCGCAGCATAGCAACCGTCGCCGTGGTGCCCGCAGTCAGGAAGGAGGCTGAGGTGCATGATGGGAGATGTAGTTTTAAGTGAGTATTTTGTAATATTTTATAATTTGATTTGATTTATTTCGAAAGTGTAAAACAATAATACAACAAATAATATTAATAGTGTGTGTGTGTGTGTGTGTGTGTGTGTGTGTGTGTGTGTGTGTGTGTGTGTGTGTGTGTGTGTGTGTGTGTGTGTGTGTGTGTGTGTGTGTGTCTCACGGTTGTTGAAGTAGCTGAGATGTGTGTGAAGAGCTTTATCCACATCTAGAAAAGCTTTCTTTAAAATTCTCTCCAGGTCGTCGTCCTCCTCCAGAGCGTCTCTGCAGATTCAAAACAATGTCATCAAAATGTAAATAAATAAATAAATAAATAAATAAAAATAAAAAAAATAATAAAACAATGAAATATAAAAATAAGTAACCGATCAAACTTTTCCCTGAACGTGTAGCAGTACTTGATAAATAAATAAATACTAATATTACCTGATGTATTTCTCCATGAAGGTGTAGCAGTACTCGGCGGCGTGCGGCCCTCCGTGCCCGTCGAACACGGCGTACAGTTGAATGTTTTCGTGGATCTGAGCGACTCGGAGTCGGTCCTCGTTTTGTTTCCTGAGACCCAGAACTGAGGAGGAGCCGACCCGGGAAACACTCACCTTAGAAACACGAACAAACAGATCAAGACCAAATAATAATTATAAGCATTTTAATTTATTTTCACGCTTATTTACAGTTAATATTATTTATATTTTTGGAAAATATTATTACTGTTAGGGAATAATTTGCTTAGGTATTCAACCTTCGACACAGTTCATCATGTTCTCCTCTCACTGTCTCCTTTCCCACGGCATAGGTCTACGGCCTTGGGTATTGCTGCTATCTCTCTAACGGCCCGTCCACACAGCGGCTTTGGAAAAAGCTTGCTGGCGGGCGTGTCTGAAGCTCGACCAAGAACAAATCACATGAATCTCCCGCCCCTGAGACACAAGCAGCGGTTTGATTGGCTAGAGCTTGTACTGGCATATGATTTGATTGGCTGACGCTTCCACCGAAAGCTTCAGAAGCTTCAAAAGTTGAACATTGCTCAACTTTTGAAGCCTGAGATGCCTGGAAAGCTCCGCTCTGCTTCCCACAATGCAGTTCGGCGAAAAGTGAGGCAAAGTGACGTCACCCCATTCAAAGTGAATGGGCAGAAGCGCTGGAAGATTTTTTTAACGCTGCTGTGTGGACGTACCGTTAAGGAGGAACAGCTTGGGCACATTGTTGTTGCCAGCCTATGACAGAGCACAAGCCGCCATGAGGTAGTTTACTGTTCAGGGACGTAGGTTCCCTGGCGCACATTCTTTTCTATGGACGACAGCTCTAGTTAGATTCAGGGTCCATAATGCTTTAGTCTCGCTGATGAAGAATGTTGATTATTACACTCCGAACTAGTTAAAACCTCGAGCTGCAGAAAGAGTTCTTCAGAATTGGTTTGGCAACCGCTGTGTGAACTCGTGACACACCACCTGTCTTGTCAATTAACTGTAAGCCGTAACTCCAAATAAACCGTCAGTGTTTGCCATCAAAGCTCCAGCTCTCCTCGTGTCTCTCTGAGTCCTGACTCTCCATTGCTACAGAAGTTTCCCCCACAATTACAATTATTATTTCTATCTACATCTGTTCACAATGTTTTTGAGTATATATTTTTTTCATAGGAATTTATTTATTGTGCATTTTTTGCTTTTAATTTATTTTTCGTCCGGTCATACATCAGTACTATGTCATGTAAAATGTTTTTTACATTTCAGGAAGGGTGAAAGGTGGATTTGCAAATGATTACGGACGAGGGGGTTTAATGGTTTAATGGTGAGGATGTTTAGATGATGCCTCAGGGAATTTAAGGGTGGGACCAGTTGGATATTCTCTCTACTATATAGTGAGACTGTTAGCTGTGTTCTGGGAGCAGAGCCTCTCTATCCTCTGAGGAGGGAGTCGCTCTGTTCCTGCGTGTGAGATCAATTTCACTTTATATTGACTTTCTTTATTAATTTATTAAATATAGCAAAAGACAAACTTTGTCTCTTAAGAGAATTAAAATGTCCTCCACAGTGTAGATCTGATTTAGTCAGAGATGGCAAAAGTACACACATCCTTTACTCAAGTAGAAGTACAGATACTCGTGTTTAAAAATACTCTGGTAAAAGTAGAAGTACTGACTAAACTTCTTTACTCAAGTAAAAGTAAAGAGGGCTTTGAAATGTACTTCAGTAAAAAGTACCCATAACTAGCAGCTGTTTTAAAGAGTACCTGACCTCCCTTTATATTAATAGAACAATAATGTCATTGTTAGCTAATGAATGTTTCCATGCTGAACAACGGCAACATGACAACGTTTTCATTGGTCCCTCTTCTTTAGAGAAGACCAGGAAATGATGGATACACGGATCGTGTTCAAATCAATAGGCACGCAATGACTCTAAATAATAATGATCACGCCACCAAACACACATTCAAACTAAAGGAACCAGCCTGTTTGGAAAATGTGAGAAGTAGAAAGTACAGGTATTTGTGTTCAACATGTAAGAAGTAGAAAGTACAGGTATTTGGGTTCAACATGTAAGAAGTAGAAAGTACAGGTATTTGTGTTCAACATGTAAGAAGTAAAAGTAAAAAGTCGTCAGATAAATAAGTAGTGGAGTAAAGTACTGATACCAGAAAGATGTACTTAAGTACAGTAACGAAGTATTTGTACTCCACTACTTCCCCCCTCTGGATTTAGTCCATGTGTGACTCAGTATAAGTTCTCCCGGTACCTGTGGGTTGTGTTTCCCGTATCTGATGCTGGACGGCAGGAGAACCGGTTCTTCTATCCGGTCGTCCCAAATCCCAAATGAGTCCCAGGCGACGGGTCGGACTCTAACGGCGCCGCTAACAAACCGAACTCCAACATCTCTGTTCGAGGCCCCGCCCACCTGCAGGACGACCAATCAAATCAGAGAATAAACTATTAAGGTCAGGCGGAGATCAAATGGGATGCTAAATATGTTGATGAGGTTGTTTACAGATGGTGGTAGCTCATGGACTCAAAGGAGTGTCGTGAAGAAGGATAATTAAATAAATGTGGAAATGTAAAAGTCAAATAATACATATAAAAATAACAAATAAATGTAAATGATGTGATAAATAAATAATTAATTATTTTGGAAAATATTATTACAATTATTATTTCTATATACATTTGTTCACAATTATTTTGAGTACATTTCATTTTAAATAGGAATGTATGTATTTATTGTGCATTTCTTGCTTTTAATTGTCTTTTTTCTTTACTTTTCTAAAGGGCTTTATCCATTTGATCTGATCCTACTGTTTATTTAAGTCTGTTTCTTTTAGTCTGTTTCAATTAAATCCTAATATGTCTCCAAAATCTGTTATAATTTTTAGAAATCTGCCATTGTGTTTGGTTTGTGTTACGTGACGCCTCACCTGTCCGGGCGCTGTGCAGGTGAGATGGGAGGGGCGTCGGGTCAGGAGGGATCGAGAACACCTGAGCAGGTGGAGGAGAACTGGAGGCGACATTTCTGAGGAAACACCCGGCCGGCAGCAGCTCTGAAATTAAATATAATATATAAAGTCAGACATTTATTACCTCTTATCACTCTCTGTCTGAAACCAGAGCCCAGTCTGCTCTGATTGGTTAGCTGGCCGGCTCTGTTGTGATTGGTCAACCGCTCAAAGATGTCCCGCCCCCTTACGCCTATCACGTACAATGAGTTGGAGTGCTTGCCAATAGGAGCGTGAGTGTTACATAGTGATGTCACTGTTTTTCTAGAAGTGCAGGAGATACACAGTAAAAGAGCATAATAGCGCCTCTTCAATCCAACTAATTAAATATCCACAGGTACAGAAGTAATCAAAGAACTCAAGTAAAATAAATCAATATTTAAAATGAAATAAAATATAGAAATATTATAAAAACTATAACAAAAAGAAAACATTGAAAAGATAAATGTTTACAAGAAATAGAAATATTGAAAAAAAAGGAAATTCAATAGAAAATATGACATTTTGTTGGCTTTGTGAAACACAAACATTAATACAAATCCTCTGTTAATTGCATTAAAAGTATGAGGAAAAGGTACGCAGGGTAAAGACAGTAATGAGTGTGCGGTCTATCAGGATGTTGGTATAAATAAACTGATGACAGGTGTGGGTTTCCCTTCCTCCAGCTGGTGTAACGTAATGGAACAAAGTTACATTTAACTTTAAACTTCAGCCAGTGCACTCACTTAACGTCAAAGTCCTTGCTTTAATATATCTGTATAATGTTCAGAAATGAGAATAAAATGTGCATTGATTAAGCATGTCAAAGGAAAGGAAGAATGGAAGATCGTTGCACAAACATTTTGATCACAAACCTAAAAAACCTGCTAAATGTTATGTCTTTTTTGGCTCCACTTCCTACAGTGTACCCCACTCATGCCCCCCCCCCACCCCCTGCTGCGTTTGAGCCTCATATCCATTACACATCAGGCGAAACACACACACGCTGAGCTCTAAAAATACTCAGTCTGCTGACTTCATTTGAGAAGTTTAGCTGGAAAAAGAAACGCCTGCAACGGAAAAATACTAATCCACATTTCGGGCTTTTATTTGGAAGGACTGGCTTTAAACTTAAGGGAGCTAATTAAAGCAAAAATATTCTTTATAAAGGCTAAAACCATGATAAGCGAATAGATAGATACAAAACTATAAAGAAGCTTTTAAAAGTATAAAAGCAAAGTGTAAAGATTTTAAGTTCAAGTAAACAAAAACAAACTTAAAGTACTAAAAGTAAACGTTGTTATAGGACAGAATAGCACTCTTTATTAGCATTTAATCCTAATATTGGATCAAGATCATGTTACATTTCTCTATTCATCATATGTACAACAGTTACATAGAAGCAGCAAAAGAAAATGATAGAAACATGGCAACAAAGTGACACAAAAACACACACAAAATGATGGAAATTGTGTATTTTTGACATAAATAAAGTGCAAAAATATATAATATTTCCCACCAAAATGTAGCACAGAAGACGTTTAAAGTTACAGAAAATGGATGTACTTGATTAAATGTGCTGTTACTTTCCAGTACTGTCACCTTTACTCCATTTCCGTGTGACGCAGTCTTTAGGGTACAAAAAGCTGTGTTGGTAATAATACTACTAGGACACCACGTCTTTAACTCTGAGCCAGGAAACAGAGGTCAGAGGAGTTACACGTTGTGCAGTCTGTGCATAATGACCTTTAAATGGCACTGCAAAAAAAACACATGTGACCTGGTGCTAAAAACACAACAATGCACATGTGTGTTTGGGTTACCCACTGACCTACATGCCAATAACAACAAACCACCCACTTTCCTTTTTCTGATATATTTAGAATATAAAGCAGAGTTTAGGTTTTAAAAATGAATTCATGCAGTCCAATATGTTTAAGAACGATCCATCAGATGGAGTACAACCTACAAAATATGTATAAGATAATACTATGCAGCACCAAAAATACTGCATGAATGATAATACTTACATATAAAATAAATATAAAAATTGATTAATAATAATAAATATATAATGCTAATAATAATAATTAATAATATTACTACTAATATTACTAATCGTACTAATAATAACAATAACAATAACCAAACCTTGTCAAATTAAGTTTTAAAATAAGAATATAAAATAACGATAAAATAAACAAATATACAAATATATATTTAAAAAATATTGAGACCCAGAGCAGAAAATAAATATTGGAGATGATCTGAAAGCCAAAAACTAATAATTTAATAGTATATTATAGTATAATATAGTAAAACATAGCCAAAGGCATTAACCATAGCCTACTATAGTATTTAAACAATGGATATAATAATGAACAGCACACAGGAAAGACTACATTTGAAGATTAAATAAATAAAGTCACTATAAACTCATTTTAAGTCTTTCTTTAGTTTAAAAACGTTGCCTGTTAAAAATGTTAAAATGGCGGATTTAAAAAACTCACCTTCTTCTTTCTTTCTTCAGTTGGTGATTTTTTTCCCGCCTTTGCTGTTTCCGTGGCAACAGGTGTTCTCTGGTTCCAGCCCTCACGAGTTCGAGTGGGGCTTGGCTCGAGGGCCTTTTATATGAGCTCACAGCCGTCCAATCAAAAATCCGAGCACAGTGCTGATGTCACTGCCGAATACGGTGTGCTTGGTTTTGGCGCGAATCCAATAAGAAGGAGCTGTTCGTTCTTATAACCATAGATATATATATAAACATATATATATATCTATGCTTATAACAAACAAACAAATACATAATTAGATAAATACAAATAATAATAATTTAAAAATACTAAATTAATTAAATAAATACATTTACTTAAGCTGATACATTCGCTTAGATCTCGTTTTTATGTGTAGAAATATTTAAAAAACGTTACCTGGTTCAGAATAATGTGCATCGTTTCTGCGCAAATCCAAGAAGAAGAAATTGTTCTGCCTCTCTCTTTCTCCTCATTTAATTAAAAATAAATAAATACAACTCTAGAAACTTAAGTCCTGTGATGCTTAGTACCTAAAAACCTTAACTAAAGTTGAATATGTTGATTTATTTATTTAGAAACACTTAAGTTAAATGTGGGGTAGGTAAGTTTGAGAAACCGGCTCGAGATACACTTTTTGTTATATTCCATGGAATGCTCTTAACATCCCGATAGCAATGAATATCTGAAGTGCTTTGACAAAAAATCCATAAAAAAATGTCATCTGTGGAAGCTGTAGTACTGTAAAAAGCACGACCAATCATTTGAGCCGGCCCGGCTAAAATAACTGGATGGCCTACCTGCCTGTCAGCCTTCCATCTGTGCACAAACTTATCTCGTGCCCTCATTGGTCATGTGCGCGTTCGTGTGTGTTGGAGGAGGGGCTCTGTAAGGAAGTGGCAGATTCGTTCCGGCTGTGTATTTTCAAATTCTAGCGCACTCTAGCTGGTTTCTCCAAAATTACCTACCCCACCTTTAAATGTTTAGAAAACGTTTAATAAGGAAACAAAATGTCCTCAGTAACATTAGCTTAACAATTACAAATGTATCATTTTAAATAATACAAATATAATAATTACTTACATTTATATAGTGCCTTTCATATACTCATGGTGGACGCTTGGGTATAATATAAACTCGTTATTTGATACGCACAATAACTAATAATGGCCTTCAGAGGCTGCCAGGAAGGACAGAAAGTAACTAAGTGCATTTACCTTCACTTAAGTACTAAATATCAACTTTTGGTATTTTTATTTTACTTTTAAGTATGAATTATGCTTTTTACTGCATTTATGTAAAAGCTTTAGTTACTGCCATACTGTATAAACAAGGTAGAACAAATACAAAAATACTGTTTACATACATTAACATTCTGAATACTTCCTCCACTGCTGGTTTTAGCCTTTAGGTGGCAGCAAAAACCTCATAACTCAAAATATGTTCAGTGTCTTTATTGATATATTTTTAGAAAAAAAGACTGCATTTCTTTAACTAATCCAACTTTAAACCCTAAACAAATAATACACCTATTGATTGGCAAAGTATAATTTGTGAAGGATTTCTTCTAGAAACCACAAGTATCCTTTAGTCAAAATGTTGTAATTAAAAAAAGTACAACTGTAAAAACATTGTTATTAACAAAAATAAAAAAGACAATATTCACATTCAAATAGTAAATACTGAAGTAAAGTGTTATCAATTGAGACAAAAAAGAAAGAAAAATATTACATTTTGCACAAAAATCTGACCAATCAGAGAGCAGGAAACTGGACCTGGGAGCAGCTTTAGCGACCTTGATGACATCATCGACTCTTCTTCTTCTACTCCTCGACAGGCCGCGCTGACGTGAACAGATCAGGTGTGTGTGATTACATGACAACTTTATCTGTATCAAAACAAAGGTAATAACTGTTCTACAACAAAGCTTTAACCTGTTCCACTCTGAGCCTGTTTTTCAGGTCTCAGGCTCGAAAATGACATTCCCAGAACAAATGACCATATCTTCCCTTCTAAAAGGGTTAAATTAATAATCTTTGTTCTCAAAGTAATGATAAACCTGTGAGTTGGATGTAGAAGTGTCAGAATCAATATAAATGTTTTTTATTTTAAAGAAAATTCAGATTTTACATAGTAAAAAACTGTAAATTATAGTGTCCGTCCAAAGATTATTTTTTACAGATAGTGAAAACTACCCTTGGATGATGGGTTAGTAGACTAAAAGCTTTAGGAATCCAAAGTACAACATATAATAAGTACCCTGTATCAAGATTGATGCAAAACAAGTGAAATTTGACCTTTTTAGAGAGATTTAGCCAAAAACCCCCACTTCTGGGGTCATTTGGGTGGATTTGACCTATCTCTGGCCCCCCTTGGTCGATTTGGTTGGTTGACATACCCTTGTGACCGTTAGAGCCAATAGAATCGAAGGGGGAGGCACACACCCACACACGTTGTAAAGAAAAAATGTGGTTGCTTCGCGTGTGGAAAACGAAACCAAAGTGCAGGAATGTCTCCTTCTGGAGTTTGGAAACTAAAACGCAGTTGTATTGCTTATGGATTATCAGAAATAATTTCAAAGAAGGCACAGACACATAGGATGAACCTATGGATTAACTGCAGCATCGTTTTTTTATCGTTTTAATGCCATTGAAGACCACTTTTGACCAAGGTAAGCCATGTTTACGTGTTTAGCTACTTAGCTCCACATGTGATGATGTACGCTTTCGTTTATAGCGTCGCGAATGTTTATCACTGAGTGTTGAGGAGGGCACCGTTAGATTCAGTGTCTCCAGGACACCGAAAAAGAGTGTTTGGTTGTGCATCTAGGATAAGTAATAAGGGAGTTCTGAGTGAGTTTAAGTGGCGCATTACGTTCCATGTTTTCGCTCATGGCTAATTCAGAGAATGAGTGCTAGCATTGTGGGTTTTTTTTGAAAAAAGAAATTAAAAAGATCAGTTAGCTGAGTTTCTTCCCGTTACATGGATATAACACATTCATAGTTTTATTCAATATTAAGATTCCTTAGACGTTGTTTCCTGCAAATGACGCGTTTATCCGCCCGGTACCGGGCGGAAGGTGCGTAACAGGTTAATAATGCTAAAAAGCTAAAATAAAATAGGATATACAGTTACAAAAAATACCAAAAAACAACTAATAACAGTGAGTTTTAAGGAGATTTAGAAAAGGCCACTAAGTTTGTGGCCTATAGGTATAAAAAGACGTGTATTTGTATAATGTTGCCTCTATATATACAGTTAACGTACTGTAATATGTGTGCTTTAGTACCTTTAACACTGAGCCAGCTGTCGTGGGAATCTCCACCCTCCGGCATTTCACATTTGTAGACCCCCTCGTCAGCTTTGGTCACTGCTTTCAGGGTGAAGTTGCCCTCTTGTTCAAACGGTCCGCGACCAAAGCTGTTACTGCAGATTCAGAAAAATTAAAGACAAGGCATCTTAACAAATCTGTCCAAAAAACCCTGCTGCAAATTAAACAAAATACAGAAACAGGTTGTTGTGTTTCCAGGGGACACTAAACAGTGACGCACCATCCATCTACTGCAACATTTAGCTTATTTTATTGAGCCTGGGACTTCAGATTTTCACTGCCTGATTTACACTGTAGCTGTGCATATGACAATAAAGCCTTTACATCTTTTAACTCATAAATAATAAAGCAAATAAACAATAACCAAGCAGAACAATACCAATAACGACACCCATGTGACAATTACCAGAAACGATCAATTACGATGTGTGTGTTGTTAACAAATAATGAGTATAATAAAACAATAAACACAGGCTAACTTAGCATTTTAGCTCCTACACAGAGATTGGATGGCCATGAGTAATAACCCCTCAACCCATTGCTTTCAACTCTTAATGATTAAATATCCTTAAACATTACTCGATCAAACGGTTGTTCTTGTCGTAGGAGGTGTGGAAGCTGAAGCTGATTTCCTTGGTTTTCTTATCCCTTTGGAAACAGCGCAGCATCACGTCCTCGCCCTCCATCACAGGAAGTGGAGGACTCTCAAGGACCACCGTCGTCACAGAAGCTGGAAAGAGCGGGAGAATATTTCACCTTAAACCTTTAGTAGAAATGTACAAATGCGTAATTTGAACAAACTGTGTGAATTGTTAGCTCTAAACACACTGCTAAGGTCACAAGTCAACACGAATGGGAACTGCGGAGGAAATTAATAATGTAATTTACATCACAGCATACCAAATGGAGAAAGCAGGGACACAAGAAATGTTCATTATAACAGGTAACATCCTTCTGAATATTACAGAACAGAAGGAAGCCAGACGTGTACTGAAGGTGTGAAGAAGCCTCTGGGTCACAGCCATAGTGAACCGAGGCAAAAACAACTTTACAAAGGACTGAATGACACTTAGATTATACATTTCCACGATAGGAACCAGTGGCATGATATGGACATATGCGAGTAAAGAGCAGGTACATGGGATTTTAATATGAAGCTGTGGAGGCTTTAGAGACTTAATGAAGTCAGAATAAAAGGTGGGTACCAATGGAGACGTTGAGGCTGTTGCTCCTGTCTCCTGCTGGGTTCTCACACCAGTACAGGCTGTATGAATCTAAATGAACAGGAGTGATGGTGCTGGAGAGTTGTTGATCTGAAGACACTTGACCGGGACACTCTGTAACGGTCCCCTTCCACTCGTCAAACCTTTGAAAACAGAAGTGGTGGTTACCTTATAGTATGGCTTTGACTTTTTCTCGAAAGCCAATGTCGTTTTGATTTGAAGTGAAATGTCTCCATGATGGATTGTCATGACTTTCGTTACAGATAATCATGTTTGCCCAGTGGATGGAACCCAATGACGTTGGTAAGAAACTGTTTTTTAGTCTGGTGCCAATAGTTAGTCGAGGTTTCCACTTATTCAGAGATACTTCAACATCTATAAAAATCAGCAATACATTAATAAATTCATGATTCCAAGAAGATGAACTAATTCGTTGTGATCCTGACTTTATCGCTTGTGTCCTCATGAGGATCCCTTGTTTGGTTTTGACTATTGGATGGATTGGACATTTGTCCCAGGATTTTATTCTCAAAAGGTTGCTCGTCCCTAAACTCTTTTTCTACAAATATTTCCAAATTCCCATCAGCCTCAGCTCTGGTTCAAATTGAAATATCTCAACAGCTATTGAATGGATTGCCATGACGTTTGGTTCAGATATTCATGGTCGCCCAGAGAATGGATCTTAAAGACGTTGGTAAGTATCAGACTTTTCCTCTGGTGCCAAAAGCTAGACAAGGTTTTCTCTTATTCAGAGACACTTCAACATCTATCAGCAATACATTTACAAATGTATGATTCCAATAAGATGTACTGATTCGTTGTGATCCTCTGACTTTATCTCTTATGTCATCATGAAGTTCCCTTATTTGGTTTTGACTATTGGATGAATTTGGACAAAACCTGGTTCAGACGATCGCTCCTTGAATTGTAAAACATTTGGTAGACCCTCAATATTTCATCTTCTCGAACATCCATCAAGTAAAAGTAATAGTTTGTCCAAAATTGTGTTGGTACCCTAATACCCGCCTCAGCTGTATTGTAGGGTCCCAAACTCTTGTTAAGACTTGAATATCTCAAGAACTGGGAACTTCTGGATGGATTAACATGAAGGTTTGTAGAGACATTCATGATTACCAGAGGATAAAATCCTAATGCCCTTGGGCAACCTCAAACTCACCAACCACAGGAAGTTGTAATTCCAAGAAGAGGCCACTATGAAAATGAGCTTCAAAGCCCAATGTTCTTCTTGGTGTCTTTAAACCATTACTACGTACACGTGGCATTTGTTAAAACTTGCTCCTGGTAGCTATCGGTTTAGGTAAAGTCATTTCAAAATCATATAACACTACAAGTAAAAGAGCAACCTCATCATCTTCCACTGGGCGTTGTCGTTGGGCAGCTGGCAGCCCAAAGTGAACGCCTCATCGGAGAAGAACTGGCTCCTGTTGTGGCTCATCACTTCCATGGAGGCCTTCGGAGGAGCGTCTTTGTTGGGGAGATAAATTAATATCAAATAAACAAATGTAAGAATCCTAACCTAATCATAAAAGAAATCTGTGTTTTCTGACCTTCAACCCAGAGCATACTGTGCCAGTCGAGGACGTAAACTTCAGGTAAGCTGCCATTATCGTCACAGGTGTAAACTCCCTGGTGCTCATGGGTAACGGGGTTCAGCTCATAGGCGATTCCTGTCGACGCTGGCTGGCTCGCCACAATCTGAGAGGAGACCAGGCAGTTTTGGTTTTAAATGGCAAAATCTGTGTTTGCACGCAATAAATGCACAGACAGGTCTCATTCCCAGGTTTGAAAATAATGCCGTAGACTGTATAAGATTATAAAGTAACGTGAAGTCAACCAATGGTCTGTGGACTACGATTTTGAAGCTTCGAGTTTGGCATTTTGGCCGTTTGGTTCTTTTGCAAAGTGACACAATAGTTAAGTTCAACCCAATGCAAAACAAATGTGGTTTGAAGGGGGTGGAAGTTGTAAGACAAAATAAAAGACCACACAAACTAATATTTGTTATTTATTAGATCAGTGTGACCAGGATGGAGTTCCAAGCAGACGGAATATGTAAGATCAAAACATCTGGACTTTGCTTGCCGTGTCAGAGGTTGGACCCAAAATAACCTTCATTATCTTCTAACGTTTACCCCACTTGACTCCAGTGTAAAGATAAGAGGTTGGGGGGGATGGATAGGTTAAACAAACACAAGACTTTTACCCTGGGGCCATTGTTTACGTCCAATCCGAAACCCTTAACTCAACATTTACTAATCTTAAGGCACGTAATAAATGCAATAAATCTGAACCATGATCTTTTGCTTAACCTCAGCCAGCAGTTTAGTCGCATAATCCTACTTTACGTCTAGGGTTGATGACCTAGAGAGTCATATGGACTAATTTGGATTTATGAGTGGTTGTATTGGGAGGCTTTCCTTTAACTGAAATCAAGGACCCTTTGTGTAAAAATGTTTCAATCATTTCGATAATTTGGAGTAACTTCATGGTAAATGTATCGACAGGCTTAGAACAAGTTGTGTTTCTTCGCCACAACTCGCATCACGTAGCTTTAGTTACTAATTTAGTCACCTAAACGTATTTTATGCTAATACTGACCTCCTGTCCATATTGAGGACTGGTTGCTTTGTGAAGCTTTCTTTTAACTGAAATCAAGGACCCTTATGTGTAAAAAACTGCCAGAAATGTAGGGACATTTTGAGGAACTTCATTGTAAATGTCCTGACAGGCATATAAAACCCTGACTAGGATGTGTTTCCTCGCCACCACTCGCCTGACATAACTCTAGTTGTGGTTTGGGTTAAGATCTGTGTTCATGGAGACATTAGGAATCTAAAATGTGGACTGTAATGCCTCAAACCTTCTTGGTCCTGTTTCCGGGCCTCATGTTGGTCCAGGTGAGATGCAGGTAGACTTTGTCTCCGTACTTCTTCTTGTCGGTGTGCGCTGTGCAGTTAATCTGCACTCTGTCGCCCGCGCTGACGAACCATGTTGGAAACGCCTGCAGCTTCGTTCCTATAACGCCCGCGTATTTACTCTTGGGCTTTGTGTCCCGACGCTGCACATCTGAAGTCAGACAGAAAAGAAAAAGTTAAATATTTCACGAGCAATAAAATAAAAAAAAAGGCTCCTGCAAATCTCCAAAGTTTATTTATAATTAACGATTTTTTATTATAATCATTAGAAACTACTAATAAGGAATGCAAAATATAATAAATCTGTGCTTTGTGTATATTGTTATTTATTATTAGTGGACGAGATGGTATCCAATTACCTAATTTAAGAAAAAGTACTAACAAAACCATGAAAATACTATTTTACAAGTTAAGGTCGTGCATTGGACATGTTACTTGAGAAGAAGTACGTAAGTATAACCAGGAAATTGTAGTTAAAGTATTACAAATATACTATTATATAATATATGTTTAGATTATGTTTAGATTATGATTTGCAATGCATTATGCTAACAGCTGATTTTCACTGCTGTAGTTTGAGGTGGAGCTCATTTTGATGTATGTTTATTCTTTTTGTGCAGATACTCACGATGAGATGAAGACCCATCCAAAGTGCTCTTTGCGCTCACAAAGGAGAAGAGGACACACAGCACTGAAACACAGAGTTAAATATGAGCTGTTTAAAGTATTTTAGTGAAGATATAAATGAGTAATAACACTTACAGACTGAAGCGAGTCTCATCCTGATGAAGTCTCGTCTCTGTCTGTCACTCTGAAGCTGAACGTTTTAAAGGTCAGGAAACGTTTGTTTTATCGGCCGTCGACCCCAGTTTATCTGTCTTCTTTCCAGTGATCTCATTGGTCGGCTGGTTGATAACATATTTAGGTTTTGCAGGTTAAAGGTCGCTCTCTTTCAGATGATTATTGACACATCTGTTTTTCTAATTTACTCCTAAATTAGATTCAGTTTAAAATATACATATTTTTGGTCTTATTTATTTATTTCACTGTATTATTATTTTATTATTATCATGATTATTAATTTAAAATTAAAATACAGTGTTTTTTTGTCTGGCCAATAATCCAGTTATTATATGGTTAATTCATTCATTCAGTGTGATAATCATTTTTATATAATACCTAACAATTATGAGTACAAATGCAAATGTATTACCTGATTTCCTAAAAAATAAAAAAGCATCAGGGTCATGTTTTATTTTCAGTGAGGTTCAAATCAATGTCAATTAATAAATAAAGTTTTTTTTTATTATAATCTAGTGTACTCACAACAGCGACTCTGTGGCCAATTAGCAGTTTTGTTTAATGGACTATTTTGTGTATCGTTGCAACTTAACATTTATTATGTTGAGAGGAGAAAAGAGAACATGGCGCTCTGATCTCCTCCTTCTCTCCCTCCCTTTATTTATTCATGTTTCTGGTAGAGCAACGACGAAGAGGAGGAGGAGGAGGAGGAAGCTGCAGAGTTACTCTCATACTCGAACACCATGATGGGATTTACATCCAGAATCATTTGTATTGCATCCAGGGGTAGAAACATGTTTATTTCTGCTGTAAAGTTGGGCATTTAACATGGGGGTCTATGGAAATTGCTCCTTTCTGCAGCCATCCCCTATCGGCCAATAGATGAACTGCAGTTTGTGGCACTTCCTTATGGGCTTCCCGGCTCTGCCCCAGAGTTTGCCGCTTGGTAAAAACATTGTTATTAACACAAATAAAAAGTACACTATTCACATTCAAAATGTAGTAAATACTAAAGTCAAGTGTTTTTTGTTTGCGACAAGAAAGAAAGAAAAATAGGTTTGAAAGCGAGTTTTATTTTCAGCAAATTCAGGCTTCAGAATTATTTTTTTAATTCCACAAATGTAGATTTAAAAATCTGTCCAATCAGAGAGTAGGAGACTGGAAGAGGGGGCGGAGCCAGGGAGCAGCTTTGGCGACCTTGATGACATCATCAACTCTTCTTCTACTCCTCGACAGGCCGCGCTGACGTGAACAGATCAGGTGTGTGTGATTACATGACAACAACTTTATCTGTAAACAGCTTTCACAACAAAGGTAAATACTGCTTTACAACAAAGCTTTAATAATGCTTAAGAGCTAAATCAAATAGGATATACATTTACAAAAAATACTAAAAGGCAACTAATAAAACTGAGAATTAAAAAAAGCCATTAAGTTTGCATGAAAATAGGTGTATTTGTATAATGTTGCCTCTATAGATACAGTTTATACTGTAATATGTGTGCTTTAGTACCTTTAACACTGAGCCAGCTGTCGAAGGAACCTCCACCCTCCGGCATTTTACATTTGTAGACCCCCTCGTCAGCTTTGGTCACTGCTTTCAGGGTGAAGTTGCCCTCTTGTTCAAACGGTCCGCGACCAAGGCGGTTACTGCAGATTCATAAAAAGTAAAAACAGGCATCTTAACAAATCTGTCCAAAAAACCCTGCTGCAAATTAAACAACAACTACTGCAACATTTAGCTCATCGTATTTTATTGAGCCTAGGACTTCAGATTTGCACTGCCTTATTTACACTGTAGCTGTGCATATGACAATAAAGCCTTTACATCTTTGAATTCATAAATAATAAAGCAAACAAACAAGAACCAAGCAGAACAATACCAATAACGAAACCCATGGGACAATTACCAGAAAATATCAATTACGATCAGTGGCGGCGCCAGGGTATGGCTGGGGTAGGCTACAGCCATCAAGAAATGGCTTAGCCCCACCTCAGCCCCACCTCAGCCCCACCTCAGCCCCACCTTAGCCCCACCTCAGCCCCACCTCAGCCCCACCTCAGCCCCACCTCAGCCCCACCTCAGCCCCACCTCAGCCCCACCTCAGCCCCACCTCAGCCCCACCATGAAACATGATGTTAAAGTAAGCAAATTCAATTAAATAATAAGCAAAATGCTAAATGTTGAGAACACGGCTTGCGAACATATACGGGTCGTGTCCACAACACACAAACTGATCCTGATGTAACAACAAGTGCACGTTACTGATGCAATATGGTTGAGACCATTGGGGTTATGCTAGAAGAGGGGTGCAAGGAGTAGTCTAAGTAGTGGATCAGTTTGTTTTATACACTAAAGGTGTGGAAATTCTCTGGCGTTATAATATCAGCACGGCTGTGGTCAGATCAAAATGCCTCCGAATGCAATTTGAATAGAGTCAGACCTACAGCCAATCAGAGCAACGCAACGTTGGGTCTGTGTCATGCATTACTGATTGAGATCAATCAGAACCGCCATTCAGTATCCCCATTGGATCTTCAACGTGTACTATCATACGTCACGTTCACAGTGATCCCTTTTTATTTACTACGAGACAAATGTGCCGTTTTATTTCATACAGTTCCATTTTGATTGAGACAGGGAAATAATCTAAACCTCACGCGTGGCGTTTCACTGTCAAGGGGGGCGATATAGCGTGTATGTAATTACATTGCAAATACTGACTTGAGCACCACCACTGTATGGGTTAGCCCTACCATAGATTACACAACAAAAATGCTCTGGCGCCGCCACTGATTACGATGTGTGTGTTGTTAACAAATAATGCGAATAATAAAACAATAAACACAGGCTAACTTAGCATTTTAGCTCCTACACAGAGATTGGATGGCCATGAGTAATGAACCCTCAACCCATTGTTATCAACTCTATCTTCTTAATAATTAAATATCTTTAAACATTACTCGATCAAACGGTTGTTCTTGTAGTAGGAGGTGTGGAAGCTGAAGCTGATTTCCTTGGTTTTCTTATCTCTTTTGAAACAGCGCAGCATCACGTCCTCGCCCTCCATCACAGGAAGTGGAGGACTCTCAAGGACCACCGTCGTCACAGAAGCTGGAAAGAGCGGGAGAATATTTCACCTTAAACCTTTAGTAGAAATGTGCTGTAGTACTGAAGGTGTGAAGAAGCTTCTGGGTCACAGCCATAGTGAACCGAGGCAAAAACAACTTTACAAAGAACTGAATGACACTTAGATTATACATTTCCATGATAGGAACCAGTAGCATGATGCAAGTAAAGAGCAGGTACATTAAAGACTTAATGAAGTCAGAATAAAAGGTGGGTACCAATGGAGACGTTGAGGCTGTTGCTCCTGTCTCCTGCTGGGTTCTCACACCAGTACAGGCTGTATGAATCTAAATAAACAGGAGTGATGGTGGTGGAGAGTTGTTGATCTGAAGACACTTGACCGGGACACTCTGTAACGGTCCCCTCCCAGTCGTTAAACCTTTGAAAACAGAAGTGGTGGTTACCTTATAGTATGGCTTTGACTCTCTCAAGCCAATCTCGTTTAGATTTGTAGTGAAATGTCTCCATGATGGATTGTCATGACGTTTGGTTCAGATATTCATGTTTGCCCAGTGGATGGAACCCAATGACGTTGGTAAGAAACTGTTTTTTAGTCTGGTGCCAATAGTTAGTCGAGGTTTCCACTTATTCAGAGATACTTCAACATCTATAAAACCTATCACCAATACATTTACAAATGAATGATTCCAAGAAGATATACTGATTTGTTGTGATCCTGACTTTATCTCTGTTACGTGCCGTAGTGGGTGTTTGTGTGTCTCTCTCTCTTTCCCCCTGATTGTCTCCAGGTATCTGGCACCCACTACGGCACGTAACAATCTCTTATGTCATCATGAAGTTCCCTTGTTTGGTTTTGACTATTGGATGAATTTTGACAAAATCTGGTTCAGACGATCCCTCCGAGGATTGAATTGTAAAACATTTGGTAGACCCTCAATATTTCATCTTCTAGAACATCCATCAAGTAAAAGTAATAATTCGTCCAAAATTGTGTTGGTACCCTAATACCCGCCTCAGCTGTATTGTAGGGTCCCAAACTCTTGTTAAGACTTGAATATCTCAAGAACTGGGAACTTCTGGATGGATTAAAGGTTTGTAGAGACATTCATGATTACCAGAGGATAAATCCTAATGTCTTAGGTGAACCTCAAAATGTTTTAACTCAGGCCAAATCGCATCATGGAACCAACCAGGAAGTTGTAATTCCAAGATGAGGCCACTATGAAAATGAGCTTCAAAGCCCAATGTTCTTCTTGGTGTCTTTAAACCATTACTACGTACAGTTTTCATTTGTTAAAACTTGCTCCTGGTAGCTATTGGTTTATGTAAAGTCATTCCAAAATCATATAACACTACAAGTAAAAGAGCAACCTCATCATCTTCCACTGGGCGTTGTCGTTGGGCAGCTGGCAGCCCAAAGTGAACGCCTCATCGGAGAAGAACTGGATCCTGTTGTGGCTCATCACTTCCATGGAGGCCTTCGGAGGAGCGTCTTTGTTGGGGAGATAAACGGATATCATATCAATTCATTTAAGAATCCTAACAATCATCATTAAAAAAATCTGTGTTTTGCTCACCTTCAACCCAGAGCATACTGTGAAAGTCATGGACGTAAACTTCAGGTAAGCTGCCATTATCGTCACAGGTGTATACTCCCTGGTGCTCATGGGTAACGGGGTTCAGCTCATAGGCGATTCCTGCCGACGCTGGCTGGCTCACCAGAACCTGAGAGGAGGTTAAACAAACACAAGACCTTTACCCGGGGGAAATGTTTGTATGCAATTTGAAACCCTTAACTCAACACACACTTATCTTAAAGGGGACCTATCATGCAAAAAGCACTTTTGTACGTCTTTTATACATGAATATGTGTCCCCGGTGTTCCAGGGAACTCACCAAGTGTCAGAAAACACAACCCTCTCTATTTTCCTCCATAACCCAAATCTCTAAAAAAGGGGCTGCAACGGATCTGATAAAAACTGATCCAGATTTGAACACTGTCCTGACGTCAGGACGGTGGCGCTACAGCTATTGGGCCAACTCCACCAATCAGGAGGAGACAGCCACGGTCATTGCTGTTCGAAAGCGCTGGAGACGCTGTAGTACATATGCCAGGCCTGTAGATGGTGCTGTTCTCACTGAATCTGCCCTTGCAGAGCAGAGCTAAAAAAAAGTGCAAATTGAGCAAAATGAGGCATGGCTAAAATGCATGATCTGTTTGGTATTTTGAAAAGAAAAAAGTATAAATATGCCTTATATAGGTATGGCCCTACACTATATTATTCAAATATAGCATGATCGGTCCACTTTAAGGGAAACCACGTAACAAATGCACTAAATGTAATCTGAACCTCAGCCAGCAGTTTAGTCGACTAAACCTACTTTAGGGTTGATGACCTAGAGTCCATACATTTGACTAGTTTGGATTAAGGACTGGTTGCTTTGTGAAGCTTTCTTTTAACTGAAATCAAGGACCCTTATGTGTCAAAAACTGCCAAAAATGTAGGGACATTTTGAGGAACTTCATTGTAAATGTCCTGACAGGCATATAAAACCCTGACTAGGATGTGTTTCCTCGCCGCCACCACTCGCCTGACATAACTCTAGATGTGGTTTGGGTTAAGATCTGTGTTCATGGAGACATTAGGAATCTAAAATCTGGACTGTAATGCCTCAAACCTTCTTGGTCCTGTTTCCGGGCCTCATGTTGGTCCAGGTGAGATGCAGGTAGACCTTGTCTCCGTACTTCATCTTGTCGGTGTGCGCTATGCAGTTAATCGTCACATTGTCGCCCGCGCTGACGAACCATGTTGGAAACGCCTCCAACTTCGTTCCTATAATGCCCGTGTAATTACTCTTGGGCTTTGTGTCCCGACGCTGCACATCTGAAGTCAGCCAGAAAATAAAAAGTTAATTATTTCATTAGCAATAAAATAAAAAAAAGACTCCTGCAAATCTCCAAAGTTTATTTATAATTAACGATTTTTTATTATAATCATTAGAAACTACTAATAAGGAATGCAAAATATAATAAATCTGTGCTTTGTGTATATTGTTGTTTATTATTAGTGGACGAGATGGTATCCAATTACAAGTTAAGGTCGTGCATTGGACATGTTACTTGAGAAGAAGTACGTAAGTATAACCAGGAAATAGTAGTTAAAGTATTACAAATATACTATTATATAATATATGTTTAGATTATGTTTAGATTATGATTTGCAATGCATTATGCTAACAGCTGATTTTCACTGCTGTAGTTTGAGGTGGAGCTCATTTTGATGTATGTTTATTCTTTTTGTGCAGATACTCACGATGAGATGAAGACCCATCCAAAGTGCTCTTTGCGCTCACAAAGGAGAAGAGGACACACAGCACTGAAACACAGAGTTAAATATGAGCTGTTTAAAGTATTTTAGTGAAGATATAAATGAGTAATAACACTTACAGACTGAAGCGAGTCTCATCCTGATGAAGTCTCGTCTCTGTCTGTCACTCTGAAGCTGAACGTTTTAAAGGTCAGGAAACGTTTGTTTTATCGGCCGTCGACCCCAGTTTATCTGTCTTCTTTCCAGTGATCTGATTGGTCGGCTGGTTGATAACATATTTAGGTTTTGCGGGTTAAAGGTCGCTCTCTTTCAGATGATTATTGACACATCTGTTTTTCTAATTTACTCCTAAATTAGATTCAGTTTAAAATATACATATTTTTGGTCTTATTTATTTATTTCACTGTATTATTTTCTTATTATTATCATGATTATTAATTTAAAATTAAAATACAGTGTTTTTTTGTCTGGCCAATAATCCAGTTATTATATGGTTAATTCATTCATTCAGTGTGATAATCATTTTTATATAATACCTAACAATTATGAGTACAAATGCAAATGTATTACCTGATTTCCTAAAAAATTCAAAAGCATCAGGGTCAATTTTTATTTTCAGTGAGGTTAAAATCAATGTCAATTAATAAATAAAGTGTTTTTTTCATTATAATCTAGTGTACTCACAACAGCGACTCTGTGGCCAATTAGCAGTTTTGTTTAATGGACTATTTTGTGTATCGTTGCAACTTAACATTTATTATGTTGAGAGGAGAAAAGAGAACATGGCGCTCTGATCTCCTCCTTCTCTCCCTCCCTTTATTTATTCATGTGTCTGGTAGAGCAACGAGGAAGAGGAGGAGGAGGAGGAGGAAGCTGCAGAGTTACTCTCATACTCGAACACCATGATGGGATTTACACCGCCGGAGTTTGGACCCTGAATCGGTACGAAGAGATTTTTAAATGTAATATTATAATTTAGTCTCGTAGTCAACCTGCAATGATTTACTGACACATCAGTGTTTACTCAAGGACTCATTTGACCTACATGCACTCATACTCCACTACATTTATGAGGCAAATATTGTACTTTTTAAATCACTAAATGTACTTCAATGTTAATTTATGAAATACTTCAATAATTTGATGCAAGCATGTAATTGTCCCTGTTGTTTATATCTTGCAATAATCTTAAATTGGCTCGGATTTTTGCATTTAAGACAATGTTGTGACTACTTTTATTGAAGTAAAAGATCATATAATCTACTGCAACATTTAGCTTATCGTATTTTATTGAGCCTGGGACTTAAGACTTCCATTGCCTTATCTACACTGTGGCTGTGCTTATGACAATAAAGCCTTTACATCTTTGAATTCATAAATAATAAAGCAATAAACAAACAATAAACAATTACCAGAAACAATCAATTACGATGTGTGTGTTGTTAACAAATAATGAGGATAATAAACACAGGCATTTTATCAGCTATGTAGAAATATATATAGTTTGATGCTATAAATAGTAGCTTTACAATACGTCTTATGGATTTTAATAAATGTATTTGATGTGAGCATTTAGGTAAATAGAAAAGGGGCTTACAACAAATGCAGATCATCTTTAGACCCTTTTTAATTCAGAGGTAGGATCATGCATGGCATTTCACACAGCAGGACGATCCCGAGAGGATGTGTGTGTGACAGAAAATAGCTGAAGGTAAAACAGAACTGCCATTTACTGAGGTGATCTTTAGCAGCCTGGAAAATCACAGAAAATGTAAACAAAATAACAGAGACTGACAAATATCAAATTGGTCATGAGTGTTTTGTGATTTTTACTCAATTCGTTTTTTCCCCTCTGTCCAATCAGGTGCTGATTATAGATCGACAGATACTAAATCAAAGTCTGACACCATCACAATGGATAACGTCCAATCAGAAGACTTGATTCAAGAGGGGGCGGGGCTTGCAGATGCCCTTGGCAACACAGATCCCAACGCTAACTTAGGGGCGGAGCCTAACTTCAACCTCAATCTCACTCTGACTTCGCAAAGCAACCCCCGCCCCAGCAAAAAAGGAGGCGTGGCTAAAGATGATTCATCGAGACAAAAAAGTAAAATTCCAGCTTTGTGTCTCACACCGACTGCCGAGCAATTGCTGAAATCCCCAAATCCCAAATGTACCTCCACACTGAACCCCAAGACACATAGCAACATTGCGTTAAGTCCAAAACCCAACCGGTCGGAACAATCAACCATCGCAACCAGCCAGAGAACAACCGAAAAAGTCAAAAGTCAGTTCTTACAGGGATCAGATCCTGTCTCAAACCACAAATCACATGATTCCCTGACAACAAAGACGACAAACAAAGTAACAGGGAGCCTAAAGATGCCGACACACGATACCCAGTCGCCAAAAATGCTTCAACTTCCCATAACCCCGGACTTCCACAACCAGAAAGAGGATTCAAACAGTCCAAAACTCGCCAATCAAACCCCAATTAGCACTAAAGCTCAAAAACAAGACCCAGCAAGGCAAGAATCAAGAACTCATAGTTCTGAGATGTCAAAATCTCCGAATCAAAAGGCGGAGATGGTTCTGCTCAGTGCCAAGAATCCTCAACCGAGTTCTGTAAGTCCCAAACCATCAACACAGAGGAACTCTTCTGGGACGAGAAGCAGAAACACATCAGGGTCTAAGGAGAAACCGGAGGGTAAAGATTCAAGTGTTGGTTCAAGATCAAAAACCAGTACAAATGCCAGTCCTGACCCTAAAACTGCAACGGGGTCCAAGGAGAGCCTGGAGTCTAAGAGCCGTTCTGCTTCCAAAATCAGTTTTGGATCAAAGGACAGCTTAGACTCCAAAACTGGCATCAATTCCAAAGCCAGTCCCTTTTGTAAGTCTGGGACAGGTTCCAGAGATAGCCTTGATTTTAAAACTGCAACTGAAATCAAAGTGAGCAAAAACAGTCCAGATTCTAATAGAGATGTGGGTTTGAAATCTGGCATGGGGTCAAAGGACAACCTGGATCTTAAACATCCTTCAAACTCTCAAGCCAGTTCCCGGTTGAAACCTGGTCCGACCCGTTCAACTTCTAAACCTTCTCTGGTTGCCTTTGGCTCTAAGACGGATCTTGTTGAATCTGCGACTCACTTGTCTTCTAGAACCGGATCCAAAGACCTCAAACTCAACGAAGCAAGCTCCAGTGCTAAAACTACTCCAGATCCTAAAGCTGGTTTCGATTATTCTAACTCTGGACCAGTTCGGTCTAGTTCAAAGTTGGCTCTGGCAGATTTGTCTCCCTCTTCGTCGCTTCCTCCGAGACCAAGTCCAGGAAATAGGAGTCCTGCTTACGGTTCTGGCAAAACTCTTGGTTCTAGTCCAACTGGACCAACAAGGGAAGTCCTGAAGAGTCCTGGTTCTGCTCAAGGTAATCACAATTATTCCATTCCAAAAAGTAAAGTGAAAAACATAATGTATCTTAGCTCAGGGTGTAAAGATTGACCAAATCAAAGGTTCAGTTAAAACCAGAATTTTGAGTCACGATTCAGTTCAGTTTACAATATGTCAACAATACTGAAACACAATGAAGTAGGCCTAGACTTAACTACAAAATGATCTTCCTCAATGGTCAACATAGTAAAATAACTAAACGTAAAACAGAGCCACAAAACAGGACTGTGGACGTTTTGGTTTGGTTTAAGTCTTGGCTTCAGAACTGTGACACCCAAAGTAAAAACGTTATACTATCACTAAGCTTTTAGATCATCAGTCAGTCTTAATCCAACCTGTTTCCTTGTTTAATTTCAGGCCTGATAGCTCCTTTGGCAACCTCCAGCCCCAAAATCAGAACCACCGTTTCCCTGACGATGACACGAGCATCCGCACCATGTGTCACTGTGGAAACAAACACCAGCAAGACATCCCATTATACCAGCCTGTCTCGGGGTCTCACCTTTGACTCCATAACGAAGACATCCACGAGGCATGTCGACAATGAAGAAAGGGTGGATGTGATGATACACAGCCCCCCACCGAGTCACCTGGGAGACAAAAATACCAACAACGCCGGCGGAAAAACTCTACCGTCAAGGGGTGAGGAAAGTAGGAAGCAAGAGAAAGGTAAACAGAAAGATGGTACTACATCTACCCTTCATCCTCTTCATCCTCTTCATCCTCTACCTCCAGTGAGGTCTTTAAGGGAGAAAGCGACCATGACTGACCCGAGTTTGGGGCTCCATTCCTGGGGAGGTGAGCGCAGAGATGTGGGCGTCCAAGTGGAGGTCGAACGCTTGACTTTCAACGACTCAAGCTTGCAAATGGGAGTTCCTTCCTCCAGTAGTTTGATCTCACCGACGACGGTCCAGCACATTTGCAAGATCGACATCGAACTCAGCAGCCAATCGGTGTCTGAATCTGTAGAAACCGATCGCGCAAGTTCCCTTCCCGCCTGTTTGCGTACGTACAGCTTCCAGGAAAACCCCGAAATCACATCGGAGCTACGACTCGGACAAAACCAAGGCGTTAGCGTCGAGAGCTTCTGGGAAGAGGAAGTAGGAAGGGAGAAAACTGAGGTGGAAGTGGACGTAGAGGAACAGGAACAGGAAGATGTTGGGAGGCCTCAGAAAGTGGCGTGGGACGACCAGGGAAGAACGTGGGAAGTTTACGGCGCCTCGGTGGACCTGGAGTCTTTCGGAACGGCGATCCAATCCCATCTGGAGTCAAAGATCCGGGAGCAGCAGAAACACATCCGGACTCTGAGGCAGTCTGTCTGCTCCGATAGCAGCCTCAGGGCGTACCGGATGAGGAAGAGGAGGAAGAGGAGGGCAGGGATCCTGGGATGCTGCAGGAAGACGCCCAACGTGGAAGAATGACACGAGTCCGGAAAGTAAAAAAATCCTTCGTAGTGAAGACTTTGAAAAGGTGTTCGCATTTATGTGTACAGCACATTATATGATAGGCCTGCGCGTATTTCCACTATATGTATTATTAAAAGTAGAGTAGCGATAAGAAAGTAGAGAATGCAAATCCTGGAATGATTGCGGTGTGAATGCTGGATTCTGAAAAGCTTAATACAAACGTTTGGATGAATTACGGTTCATATCTCTGGAATTATGAAAGTTATGAATGTCTTATGAGTAAGAGACGTCAAATAACACAAATTATTGAGGCTCATGGTCACAGTTACTTCCAGGTCGGTATTCATTAAATATTACGTTCAAATGCAGCAGCAGAAACACATCCGGACAGAGCGTATCGGATGAGGAAGAGGAGGAAGAGGAGGGCAGGGATCCTGGGATGCTGCAGGAAGACGCCCAACGTGGAAGAATGAGTTCGGAAAGTTAAAAAAATCCTTCGTACTCAAGACTTTGAAAAGGTGTTCGCATCCTTCAAAGACTCTCTCAAAACTCACTTATTCACTCTAGATTTCAATACCCCCCCCCCCCCCGCACTTTACTCACACTTGGATTGGGACTACTGTTTCTGTTTTTTAGTTGTCTTTGTACTGTTTCTGTTTCTGATTTGATGTAAAGCGTCTTTGAGCACTAGGAAATGCGCTATAAAAATCAAATGTATTATTATTTATGTGTACAGCACATTATATGATAGGCCTGCACGTATTTCCACTATATGTCTTAATGATAATAGAGAAGCAACAAGAAAGTAGAGAATGCAATTCCTGGAAGAAATTGCGGTGTGAATGCTGGATGCTGAAACGCTTAATACAAACATTTGGATAAATTACTTGAATATTTGTGGTCGATTCGATTGGGAATGCTTCTCAGCATTCACACCAAGTATCACAAATTATAGAGGCTAATGGTCACAGTTACTTCCAGGTCGGTATTCATTAAATATTACGTTAAAATTCTAAAAATATCCTGTTTTTGACCCAAGATCAATGTCCCTACTAACCTGTTTGCATGGATCATAAAACCTGAATGTAAACACACACACACTATGTTTTATTTTCCGTAGAGTAAAAAGCATTTAAAATGGCAGAGGATGTTTTGATGAATTACATAATTCTAGTTATTTAACAGAAGAGTTTCCGTATAGTTGTTTGAAGTAGAGTGGAGTCGACAGCTCTCTGCTCACAGTGCTGGTAAATATTTCATCTACTTCCTTTTTACAAAACACCGTCATCACAAACTACTCAAGCGCTCGGGAACCCAGAAAAGTGTGTGTGTGTGTGTGTGTGTGTGTGTGTGTGTGTGTGTGTGTGTGTGTGTGTGTGTGTGTGTGTGTGTGTGTGTGTGTGTGTGTGTTTGTCTTTCCTGGTCTTTTTAATTGTTGTTTTTTCCGTTTTCCATCCCTCTCTTTTCCGTCACCCATTTTCCTTTCACATGTTTGTCCTTTACTTCCTTGTCTCCCGTCTTTCCTTCTTTCCTTTCCTTTCCTTTCGCTTCCAGGTCACTACAAGCTCTGCTCTGTCGATGGGATTTCTTAAGTAGAGCATATCAACTTTAATTACATGTTGTTTTCTCTCTTTCTTCCTCCTTCATTATCACCACTTTCCTTCGTCCCTGTCTCCTCTGTAGTGGAGTTATGTCTTTGATGGAATACCAGGTTGCTTCTCTGAATTATTCAGAAACATTAAAGTCACGCTCGTGTTAACAACACAGTCTTCGCCATGTTTTATTCAGCCTGTGCTTCAGATACACTGAGGTCTCACACCATCAGTATTATGCTGATTTAAAGGGTCCCTTGTCTGCTTGTGGGGGGTTTCTCTCTCCTGTGTTCTATAGGTTGTAGTCGTGCATGTCAATTGTCTGCAAAGGCTTTAATCCCAAAGTTCAGGATTGCAGTGACATCACTATGTAACACTCACGCTTACACAAGAAAAATAAAGAGCTTTTTGAACATTAAAGCATGGAGATGTCACACCTGAAAATGTGCAGAGTATGGCCCCTTTAATAAAAAATACTTAATCTCCCCTTCCTCCTAAACACATTTTATTTGTAAGTCTTGTCACGCTGAAGGTTTCCAGGAAACTGTGTGTGTCTGTCAGAGACACCTGAGGCCTGTCAGTGAGCGGAGAGAACATCCTCCCGTTAAGTGCTAAAAAAATGCACTTATATCAAACCTCTCGTTTTTAAGTGAGCAAGCTTTTTCATTTTTTTTTAACTGTGAAAAAAGGACCCAGCACGTCTTGCCCTTTCTGTAACAAAGTAAAGTTCCCCTGCAGTAAGGTTTTCCAATGTTAAAACCATTAAGCATCTACAACAAATCATTTTTTATAAAATAGCATCTAAAAAATGGAGCTGGATCAACAAATTGTTAACATATTTTTTGCCAATTTTTAGCAAAGGATTCTCAAAACACTGAAAATACAGGAAAAATATAACGTAGGGAAAACGCATTTTCTGTATTCAATTTAAAGAATATTTGATAAGAGTTTCAAATAATATAGAAATGATTATTTAAAGGCAACATTTTAATAACAACATTTGGGGTATAGCATAAGTCTTATAAGTAACAAGATGCTTTGTGTGTTTTCCTGCTATGATAAGTCAATTTACTTTATTTAGAGAACCTCCTCTAAATGTATGAATCCTATCAAAACCAAAACAGCAAAAAGTATAATAAGTACAAGTATTTATTGTGCAGTAAAATATATTTGAAGAGTCCTGTGAGAACCATATATCTCTAAATAAAAACTGCTGCTTTCTGACGACACATTTAGAGTTTTGTCCCGGCCAATAGGAGGAGGCGACGGTGACGTTACCTGACAACAACAGCTGACAGGTATTGTGCTCAAGTCACACAAATACACACTCTTGAAACACTCACACACAGCAGACTGAAGATAACCAGAATGTGTGAGGAGAGCTTCGATTCAGAGCAGTAAGTCAACGCTTTAAAATCTCACAACACTAGAAAACATGTTTTTACATTTTCAGGAATAATGACAGCAGAAACTGAGGATTTTCCCCTTTTTTTCGTATCACACAGAACGATTTTAAAAGCAATGTATTTCTATTGGTAGTGTGTTTCGTGCCTGCAACACGTCTTTTTGTCCTGGTCGGGTCTTGGAAGACCGGAAGCTGTGGGGTTCATTAAAACATCTTCTTACTCAATATCAAGCCACGATTATTGTTTTTATTTTAAATCACATAATGTCGGACTTTTTTTTAATTTATTTTTTTTAAATATTAAGAGTACATACATAGGGGGAAAGTAGAAGGTCACACACATATTGATAGATGTCTTGTAATGCACTGTTGAGGAACCTGTGACCCAAGTTTTTCATTCATTGCATAACTACACTGTAGTTGTGTATATGATATGTCAATGAACCTTAGAAAATCTTGAAATCTTGAAAGGGATGTGCAAAATAGTCATTATATACAGTCTTTAATTAACTATTAGTAGAGAATAACGAGTAATGAATATACTTTATAGGGATCTGCAGATAAATGTTTAGTCTTCTCAAGCAGCAACTATCAAATATCTCTCCTGATTGTTGGCACTTGACAATCACCTTCACTGAATTTTACTCAGGTGTAACTAAAGCCTGATTTAAGGGTTGTTTATATTTCACATCATTAATCCAAATATGTAAAGTAACTCAAATAAATGTAGTGGAGTAAAAATACCAGGTTAACCTCTGAATTGTAGTGGAGTAGAATTACAAAGTAACAATGAGCTGTCATGTGGGTATATATTAATGCGGCCCATTATGGATACAAGCAATTTTCACCCATTTATTAATTATATGTTTTACCTTTGATAACACCGATGTGTTTAATACTGGCAACTTCTAATTGTGGGAAAAATTAAAACGTTTAATAATCGTGGCTTGATATTGAGTAAGAACATGTTTTTATGAACGACACAGCTTCCGGTCTTCCAAGACCCGACCGGACAAAAATACGTGTTGCAGGCACGAAACATACTACCAATAGAAATACATTGCTTTTAAAATCGTTCTGTGTGACATGAAAAAAAGGGGAAAATCGTGTTGGTGAACACGAATCAATAGATTAAATGTTGTGACTATAACACGAAATGCCGTGAGACTGGGTTGGATAATCAATGCTACTAGTTTGTCCACTTAAAGGTGGGGTATGTAAGTTTGGAGACACCAGCTCGAGTGCGCTAGAATTTGAAACTACGCAGCCGAAAAAAATCTGCCTCTTCCTTCAGACTTCCTTACAGAGCCCCTCCTTCAACACACACACACGCGCACATGACCAATGAGGGCTCGAGATAAGTTTGTGCACGAGATGGAACGCTGACAGGCAGGTAGGCGATTGGTCGTGCTTTTTACAGTACCACGGCTTCCACAGATGAATTTTTTGTATGGATTTTTTGTCAAAGCATTTAATATATTCATTGCTATCGGGATGTTAAGAGCATTCCATGGAATATAACAAAAAGTGTTTCTGAAATAAATTACATACCCCACCTTTAAGCTAAGTGATCGATATAAATAACAATTTTCTTCCTATTGATAGGCATCTGGTGTGTCTAAAGCCAAGCTAAAGCACTGCAGCATTAACGATTATATAACAACAGGAAGAAGCTTAAAAGATGACCTGCTACAAAGTTAGCAACCGGTTAGCTAGTTAGCCTACTTCAGGTTCAGACTAGCCATACTAGCAGTTAGCTGGCTTTGTTTGCAAGCTAGTTTATGAATCCAAAATCATGAATGACTCAATTATGACTTCCTTGAAATCCTTAAAACTCTTGGTTTTGACATAGGAAGTGGTGTTCACAATATGTTATGCTAGGTAATGCTAACATAACGACACAGTAATGAAGGAAATCCTAGTCGTAATGGTAGAGGATAAAGATAAAGACATTGCGAAAGTATTTTTCTCAGAAATGATGAAATACACGACTACAGTTAATATATATCCAAGAGGAAATGTACTTCCAAGAGTCTCGGCCATGTAGTAAACACTGTGTGTGTTTCTTTGTGTCTGCATGTCGACCAGTGAGGTTTGCAGTAAGCCGGATTACTCACCGGTTTCCTGGCGGGAGTATTTTGACGAGATGGAGGACGTGAGCGTCGGGGCGGACGACAGCAGGGACGTCTTCCGGATCTATAAAGCTGGAAACACTGGACCGCTGCTGGTCCTTCTGCACGGGGGAGGACACTCAGCGCTGTCCTGGGCCGTCTTCACCGTGAGTATCCAGTCGTTTAATGGCGGTACATCTTGAAAAACAGCGATCACCAAAACATCATGTCCAACTTCAGAGAGACAGAAAGCAAAACAACCAGTAAAAGATTTAAAATGTCAGCAAAGACACACTTGAAAAACAGAAAAGACGAGACGAAACGAGACACGAAGTGGTGACAGAGAGATGGTAAAGGACTGCTAAGACACCCGAAACAAACAGAAAGACATAATAAGACCAGAAAGACCAAATGATACTGAAGACCTCGACAAATAGACGCGAGGAGGACACAGTGAGTATCCAATGGTCAATCGTTTGATGGCGGTACATCTTGTAAAACAGTCCAGATTCGAAACAGTAGTCTGCAACTTCAGAGAGACAAAAAACACCTGGCTGCAAAACAACCAGTAAAATGTCAGCAAAGACACACTTAAAAACCAGAAAAGACGAGACATGAAATGGTGACAAAGAGATGGTGAATGACTACGAAGACACCCGAAACAAACAGAAGGACATAATAAGACCAGAAAGACCAGATGACACTGAAGAACTCCAAGAAATGACTTTAAATACGACGCAAAAATACAGTGTTTGTGACGTTGGGTTAAATGTCTTTCTCCTTGTATCGTGTCTTAATATATGTGGCTGTTGATGCTGCTAATGGAGCTGCTGTGATGCAAGAAACATTTCAGACTTGATCGGACCATAAGGTTTTATCGAAAGAACGTCCATGAGATGAATCAAATTTGATGGTCAATGGTAACAGTGGTCTCCCGTTCTTGTTGACGCGATATCTCCGCAACGCCAGATTGGAATGTCTTCAAATTTGGCAAAAACATCAACTCCTGCTCAAGTATAATTTGATAAAAAATGTTGAGTCCTTCTGTATTGCAGAGAGTCATCGCCAGCAAAGTGAACTGCAGGGTGCTTTCCATGGATCTCAGGGGTCACGGTGAGGACATATCAATTATAAAATACAGTTTGGTTGTGAGGATTACTTTGGAGGATGATGAATTGGATTATTCAATATAGATAACAGCTTTTCGGGGAAAATAGGGCATAATATTGGCTTTTTGACTTTTGAATACTGCAAGTGTTAATGCTAATGGACTTTGATCCCAAATGCGGTGCTAAAGAGGTAATATTAAGGGGACATATACGAATATTTGTATTCATTTTTACTCCCACATCTATCCCCAGGGAACAGGAAACTGTTACTCTTCATGGATGGTAATAAATAAGGTGTATGTTGACAAAATATTATATATTTGGGACCTAACCACCAACGTTTGCACCACATATTTATTCTGATAAAGCCATAGTTTTCTGTAAAATAACGAAAATAAGTGATGCTGATAAGGACGAGGGTCTTCCTGCTTTAACATTAAATACATTTCTGTCTGGTTTCAGTTGTCGAGTAATTGATGCATAATTACTATTTTCTTAAATGTCAATTAAAGGTGACACCCTGGTACGCCAAGCAGACGACTTCTCGACTCAAACCATGTCCAGGTAACAAAACAAACACATTTTATCTCAGTGATTGTGCTGTTGAATGTTTGTTGTTTGTTTTTCATGTATTGTGTCTTTATCCATCTGTTGATGTTCCACATGGAGCTGCAAGTCACAAGTCACATGTCAGACTTGATCTGACCATTAAAGTATTATCGTATCGTATCTAAATACTATAACTATCGTCCCTCAGCGATATAGCCAATGTGATTGGTGTCTGTTACGGTGAGACTCCGCCCCCCATCGTCCTGATTGGTCACGGTGTTGGCGGTGCGATCGCAGTTTACACAGCTAGCAACATGTTGCTAACCACCACTGTGGGACTGGTGGCTATCGACGTGGTGGAAGGTGAGAGAGCTTCCTGTTGTGTTTTATTGCAATATTTATTTAATGTTTACTGTTAGAAAAATATCACTCGTCACCGACTTGAGCTTCAATATCAGGATACATGTATTTATTATCCTCTCAAGAATGGAAGTAGTCAAAACAAAAAAAGAGAATTTTTTTTTCTTTTTTCTCAAAATTCTTGACTTTCTCTCAAAATTCTGACTTTCTCTCAAAATTCTGACCTTTTCAAAAAATCTCAAAATTCTTGACTTTCTCTCAAAATTCTTGACTTTCTCTCAAAATTCTGACTTTCTCTCAAAATCCTGACTTTTTCCTCAAAATTCTGACTTTTTCTCAAAATCTCAAAATTCTGACTTTTTCCTCACAATTCAGACTTTTTCTCACAATTCTGACTTTTAATGTTAATCACATAGCTATCATATGCCTAAAACAGTCCTGATGCTCTTCTAGGTAATCATACATCCTGTCATGTTCACAGCTACAGTTGGGATACCTTTGTTATCATGTTACTCTCATGTTGGAAGAGGACATTCAGTATTTCCCCAACATTTACTGGTGTTGTTTTCCACCTGTAGGCAGCGCAACAGACGCTCTGCACAGCATCCAGGACTTCCTGAAGGAAAGACCAAAGTCCTTCAAGTCCATGGACCACGCTATAGAGTGGAGGTGAGGATTTAAAGACCAATAAAGCACTCAAACCTGGACATGAGTTAGCATTCCCTTGTCTAGGAGTCAAGCTAGTTAGCATTGGTTGGCAAGGTGCTTTGGTGATTGATCCATTGGGTTGAGGACTTTAGTTTTTTAGCCTTAAAGAGGAATTTTGTCCGTCGCCATCTTGGTTTTTGGGATCCAGAAAAATACCATAATGGGTCGAGAAGATGGAGCTGGGGAAGAACAAAGCCCAAGATTCAAGATTCAATGCTTTTATTGTCATTTGTACATTGTACCTTTGCTACAGTCTAGATATGTCAATGAAAAGCTTAAGTCAGAGGCTCCTCCAACAGAGCAACATATATATAGGACATAGAACAATTAAACAGATAAAATAGTGCAAGTAAATACAAAAACAAACACTGAAATAATACAAAAAAAGGCTGAGTTGGAGAGGAGCCAAAGACACGGCAGCCATTATCACCGGCGCCATCCTCGATACGACGGTGCCAAGTATCGTTAGCATAGCACAAAGTAACAGCCAACACTAGCTGGCTAGGTTAGCAAGTGGATCTGTTTGACACATTAGCTCTAACATTAACTGGGAGGCTAAGTTTGGTTAGTGAAAGTCAGGCTGAAAACAAAAGTTCTAAAATGTGGGAATGAGTCAGCTTTTTCCTCGAGTCTGCACGGTATTGTTTATAAGCTATGAAGTAACAGGTTGTTTGTTTGACCTCCTTTCAGCATCAAAAGCGGGCAAATCAAGAACCTGGAATCTGCCAGAGTGTCGATGGTTGGTCAGGTCAAAAGGTAGGTTGGCTCTGATTGGCCAGTTAGAGGTGGTGATTACTTTGCATTAATATTCAAGACGTATAGCTCTGGGAGTAGATTACAACTTACGTATTTTCTCGAATAAAAGCCGGGTCTGACTTTTACTTTGTTAATCTCCTCTTTCCTCTCGCTTCCTGTCTCATTAGATGTGAGGTGGAGGAAGCAGAAACTCTGGAGCAAACCATCCCGGTGTCCGACGTCGTCATGGAGCGAAACGAAGAGTTCTACGATCAAAGCTACGTCGACGACAAAGAAAATGCAGCATCGGAGGTGAACCTCAACGAAGGCCAGGTATGAAAACACACGGAAACACTGACTGAAAAACACCAAGGCATTAAAGTCGTAACAAAATTAAAGAAGTTGTAGTACAAATATAACCATAAATATATACATATTCCTGTATGTTCCTGCCTGTGTACATGACATAAACTGCTCATAACCAATTGCCCCTTGCGGGATTAATAAAGTTGTTGATTGATTGATTGATTGATTGATTGATTGATGGCTATAAAAACACTATTGTCATGGCCTCCAGAGGCATTACGTTCTTGCAGTTGCTGTACGAAAAATGTTCTGGTACGAACCCAATACCTTACGAACGCTTTGAGGAAATATCTCCAAATTTAGCTCAAACGTCAACTTGAGAAACTGATCAGAATTTGGTGGACAAAAGTCAAACATCACAAATACGCCAAGAAATGTGAAATAATAAACCAAAAGAAATACATCTAAATGTAGGAAAAATTTGGCAAAAATAACGACGAATGTTGCGTTTTTAATGCCTCTGAGTGTAATTCATTGACTTGCATTGTATGTATGTGTTCTTTCCATTGACTTATATTCATTATAGACCCATACAACTGCACCAAAACAACAGCCAACACCCAGATGTTCATACATAATCATGTCAAGGACACTATTGACTTGCATTCATCACGAACCTAGAAAAACATTTAAAACAATATTTCCGTTGACGTCCATTAACTCCCAAACATCTAAAACCAAACCTACAAAAACATATATATTTCCATTGGCTTCCATTAATCTACATATCTATATCATATCATACATCTACTGTACATGTACTATAAAAGGTAATATTTTCCATTGATTTGTATTCATTATAGACACAATAATCAACACCCAGATGTTCATACATAAACATTTCAAACAGGACACTATTGACTTGCATTCAACACGAACATCTAAAAACTCAAAACATAACAGTACCACCATTGACTTCCATTAATTGCCAAACATCCACAACTACGGTACTGAACTTTTTGTCATAAACTGAAACCCTCTTACACATCTACACGTATTATAATAATAAATATATTCCATTGACTTGCATTCATTTTCCAATTTTCACCTCAAAACAGGCCGAAAATGTCTCAAATGTTTTATTTTTCCTGCAAATGAAGATACTTAACCCATCCCGCTGTGTGTGTGTGCGTATGTGCATGCGTGTGTGCGTGTGTGTGTGTGTGTGACAGAGTGTGTATGTGTGGCGTATTAACCTGTCTAAGTCGGAGAAGTATTGGGACGGCTGGTTCAGAGGGACGTCCAATCTTTTCCTCGCCTTCAACCTTCCCAAACTGCTGCTGCTCGCCGGTACGTCTTATAAAACAGTCGTATTTTATGTCGAAATAAGGCATAGTACAGTACTACTAAATACTGTTCATATTTACATTAATTATATGACCGTCTATGTTTCTCCTAGTTATTTAATTGCTCTTTTTACTGCACTGTTAGTGTACAGTTTTATTATTGTGTTGCTGTGTTTATTGTATTTTTGTAACTCTGGCACAACAATTTCCTTCGGGATAAATAAAGTCTTATCTTATGTTATCATATCTTACAGTATGTCGATAAAATGGAAAAAAAACGACAAAGTATAGTATGTCGAAA